CATGAATTTAATTTTTTCAATTACACTTATTCTCTACACTATTCAATTATACTCTTACTCAATTACACTTACTTATCTTATGAAAAGTTGAATTTTTTGACGTTCTCTAAATTATTACACATATCTACTACATCCTTTTCATAATGCTTTATGTACTTTACTATCCGATTTGGATATGGATAAGAGGAGTCTTTGAAATTAGAAATATTTAGTGAATTAAGCGTTCATAGCACTTCTCGCCATTGCCAAACACCTACTGCCTTTGCAAAGACCATTGTTTAGAGATCTATGCGCCTAGATAAACGTTGAATTGTACCATTTCGCAGTCCGCTAATTGAGTTACTTCGGGCAAATTGTTATTGAAAATATCATCATCGATTTAATCGTTTTATCTATCTAATCTAATTCCTTTGAACGAGCAATTCTTGTATGTGTATATGTATATATATATAATCGGAATCTCGGAAACGGCTCCAGTTCATATTTTCTTATTATTACGTCGGTAAAATCGAAAAATATTATGCATATTTCATACTCAGTAGTTTGTATCTAAATGTAATTTCCAAAATACATGATTTACCAAAAAAAAACGAGCAAACAGTACTGGATAGAATGGTTAGACGGGTTGGGTAGTGAGTCCCAACTACAACTTCAACCTAGAAAGATCTATTAAAGTCTTCCGTTCGAAACCATTGCCCCCTACTGTAGAATAAAATTATCCAGTGTTTTGAAGACGTTTTACATATATGTAATGTGCGTGATATAAATACTAGGAACAAACACAAATTAATTCTACCCTCATCTAGATTGCGTACAATAAGTAAATCTTTTATGGGACAACGTATACGTTTTTACAACAAAATCCCAGAAAACTATCATTTTTTTTAATGTGAAAAGTTGCCAAGCGAGCTGATGGGACACCTGATGTGAAGTGAATACCACCGCCCATGGACATCTGCTACACCCGAGGGTTCCAGATGTGTTGACAACCTTTTCAAAATTGGGCTCCGGACTGCGGCCACCTCACTCACCAGACGAAACGCGAAAGTATTATACTTCCACTTTACGCCGGTCTTCTGTGAGGCAGGTTCGTCCGGGTAAGTACCTCGTGGTACTTACCCGGACGAGCCTGCCCATTCGTGCAGCAGCTGAGGCTGCTGCGTGGCCCTACCACCGTGAAATGAATCAGTTGCTTAGTTCAAAAAGCTTATAAAAGCACGTTTGTATGTTAACGACTATTATAATATTAGTGATTATTTAAATAATAATACACTGGAAATGAATTGATCGCTCCAGTCTCTTTCACGGGGACTTCAATACATTTGTAAACATGTTATGTAAAAAAAAATATGTTAAAAAGTCCCGCTGAGTTTCTTTCGCTGGTTTATAGTGGACCAACATTCAGATTCAAAATAATTATCTGTGGGTCACACAAATAGTTGTCTCGTGTTGGAATTGAACCCCCGACTCCCTGCGCCAAAGCCAATACTTTGGCAATTGCGCCACGGAGTCATCAAGTATCAAAAACATCAATATGAGATAATATTTATAGACAACGGAGTAGGCGGGGCGCCAATTAATTCTTGGATTTAGTTTATATATAATTTTTAGTAAAAAGGTAAATTTTAGCGCTTTTTATCGTTGGTATATTTGAGCAAGAGAATATCTAAATTAATTTAATAATATACGTATCAAATAAAGGTGGCAGGTAACAAGACATTCCATGACACATATATAAATATTAAATAACTGTTAACATGAATAAGAATTTAGCCTCTAACGGAGGTCCGTTACGTTACGTTGGGCCCGAGCCCCACTTTTCTCACTATTAATTCTAATACTCCAGACAATTTTAAAAGTTGGCCTCTACGAAGTTTATTACAGGCGTTCGACACATCTTCCAAGCATTGGTATTTCTTTGAAATCTTTCCTTCTCTTTTCTTTAAAGCACGTGGGCTTTTCACTCAAATTGCAATAATCTCATTGAAATCCGCATGGACATAACTTTAGCCAATGACAAATCGACGCCAATCCTCGAACTGTCGAAGCCGGCATCTTTGGGCGTAGCGTTATATATGAACAATTTTTAACATAATTATTTCTACGATAAAGCATACTCCGGCTTTTTTTTGATATTGCCATTGTGTTTTGCAATCGTAAATCGTAAGTACACAAACGTTATCATTATCAAATAGAGCGCGATTAGAAAAATAAATTGCTAAAAGGGAACTTTGACATCAATACATCGTAACATTTCAACCGTAAAAGCGAACAATGTCTAGATCCAAATGAATTTCGACCGACGTCTGCGTAGATGCGAAGAGCATTCTGTAACATCCCGTTCTTAGATCCATCTCAAAAATCACACATCCATCAAAGAGCGACTGCGCCGCCCGATTCACGGTTCCGCCGCGCCCTTCTTTCCGAGTCCGATCTAATTTATCTCCTAAGCCCTACCCATTAGCGGGACCCCCGCGCGATAACAGAGAGCCGACAACGGCGCGGGGGCACGCCGCTTACGTACGGTCGCACGCCAGAACGCAATCGCATCTCGTCCGAGCTCTACGTAATATACCCCCGTACGTACAGTGCCATCGGACGATACGCTACGCAAGATCGTTACGGACCTCACAGTATCCGAGATATTCCCCCATCGCGACGGTTCTTTTCGCGTACAGTGAAGTGTCAACAGTGTAGAATCGGTGAAATTATTGTTTCTGCTTTGTTTTCGGCGGTGTCGCTTGCACTTTTTTTCCCGGAATTTCGTGATAAAACACAATGGGCGCTGCGACACAGTTCTAGTTGCGTTATCCAACTCGTAATAGTTGAGTATTATGTGAATTTTTTGTTACGATGCTCCAAGCTTTTTGGCATTTGTTATTACACTGTTCATTGTAAGGGTTTCCTGTTTGCTCTGCAATTTATTAATGAACAACCTCATCAGTTGATCGTTAAATGCAGGCAGAGGGTGATACCGATTGTTTATTCAAAGCCGTCCGTCGATACATTTATTCACAGTCGCGTTTTGTTTGGTTTGATTTTATTAAGCAATACTTGTCAGTGCTTTATGAATTTCTATCTTTACTTTGCACAAAGAGTTTATGCGTTTATACTTAACTAAACTTTACAGTGGATGTCGTAATGAATGTATTCAAAAATAGTTTACAATTTCGTTTTAGTAAAAATTCTTTGGGCTAACAAAAACTTTCTTCGATAGAAGCCCTAACACTTGTTTAAGAATAATAAAATGAATTATCGTAAATAATCAATAATGAATAAAAAATAATATCGAAGAACTCCAGTATAAACAGTTACTCGTATATTATTTAAACGTTGGTTGAAGTTCAATCATCATCTACATCACCCCCGTGGATAAAAGCGAAACGAAATGTTGTAATATTTCTTTGAATCCGTCTTTTCTTTGATATTTGACCTAGATTGCATTTAACCGGAAACTGCGTTTATTAATCGTTATATTCTTGAATCACATGTGACCTTATGCTAATTACGGCCGATTAATCATTATGGCATGAGGCAGAAACTTAATACGTTATTGGAGGCCGTCCGAGTAGCGGTTTAAGGCTCGCTGAATGATAACAAGTCTACGAGTAATTGATAGGGACACTGTAACGCCATTAGCAGCCAGTGCATAACGGGTTCACTCATTTTTAGTGCGGAAACGTGCGAAACTTTTAACCACAAACACAGCATTCTCGCGGCACAACTGCGTTGTCAACTAAGTAATGTTTGAATTTGATTGTGATGATTCTTTTTTTTTATTTGAAAGCTGGTGCTCCCCATATAGTCCCATATTAATTTCATTGGTATTGGATCTTGGGCTTTTGAAGAAGTCGGTTTTGTTTTTGAGACTTTATTATTTTAGCATTGCCTTCGGTTTAGCTCTCAAGGGTTAATTTGAAGTTTGTTTTCTTTCTTGTTAGTAAAAACGTAGTAAAATGCTGAAATAATAGTAAATAAATGACATGTGTTTTTGAGATAACATTTTATGAACACCAATCAAGTTGCCACCGTTTTGCGAATAACAATGTGAGCTGTCTTTCGCGGCGCAAGGATGTAATGCGTCAGCGACTAATAACATATTATAAACGCTATTGTACCTACTTAGTTTACGTATTCATACAAGAGGAAGTGATAACAGTGTATTGTTGTGATGTACCAAAACGTCTATCTTATCGGTCGCGTTATTTTTCAATGGAACGTTCGCATTCGTCGTCCGCGAGCTAATTAGTGTGCCGTCTCGTGGGATCCCCGAATTCCTAACGGGATACGTGTTTTTTTTTTTAAATTCGTCTAAAAGTACACGTCCCCTTGTAAATGAAATAAGTCCGAATAACGGCCAGTTTTCTCGCGTCCGTCTGATAACTTTGACGAATGTTAATCGTTCCACTCGGAGATGATCGCCAGTTATTCGGCACAGCAACATGACCGTTTGATACATAACCATAGAAACAATAGAAATGTAGTGCGGTAGAAGTAAAACTGAGAAATATCTTTAAAATATTATTCATTTAATTCATTATTAATGTATAAATTAATGATTAATTATAAATATTTTTTTTATTTTGAATCTATCATTCAGATACATACATACGTACAGTGTAAATATATAAAATTTTGATGCTATATAAACGCATTATTGCCGTAACACGTTTCCGTTGCATTCAGTTATCCCTTAGTCCCGCCTAAAGACGTTTACTTAAAAAAATAAACATGTTTTTTAAATTTTTCTCCCGAGTCCAATCACACTTATATTTTATCTGCATTCTTATAAGTCTAAAGGAAAATCGAAAACTGAAATGAAAATGATTGGGTTTATGATACTATGAGACTATATGAAGAAATGGCAACTTTACGCGTGTAAGTTGCACTACATTTGAAGCGCATAAAGTTTTTGTTCTTCTTGATCCTGTTAGCTGTTGCGATGATGTTTGTTTTTGTTCGGAATTTATTTTAAACAGGATACGTGTGTTCGATTACAGGTCGAGGCTGGAGACGTATTGCTCAAGGTTAATGGGACTGACGTAAACCGGTTCACGACCAGAGAAGGTAAGGAACCCGCTAATTTGCAGACGCGAGTGCACTTCGGATGTCCCCCGACTAACCACATGAGATCTTCGTATTTTTTACGGAGATTTGGCCGTCCTGTCGCCTCCGTTTATCCCATCGTAGGCTACAATTGTATTTATTTATTTTTATTGTTAAGGATCTACAACTAAGACCAAGTGTAGTTAGTATTCGTGCCCATTCAATTATAGGAGAACATATCTTTCTTTAAAATTATCTAAGTAACAATATGAAACAAGTAATTATGATTAATTCTTGAATATGAAATTGAAAATTTCAAAAGGATAAACTAACTTACCTTGACATTCTTACCCTTATAAGGTCAATGAGTTAAAATTCGGTTTCGTTTCATCATAAATAACACAAATGAAACTCTCCTATTCCTTGTAGAATCAATATCTCTGATCTTATTATGTGGATAACTGACGGGATTAAGTAATTAAATAAAAGGCAGCCAATATTCACGATAGGCTTCCTTCGTGCAGCAATGCAGATCATTCGAAATGCGTTCACTCTTAAGCGATAACCGCATCAAAAGGTTATCCATTAAAAACTTGGCGATAAAAAGGTAAAACTGAAACTTTAAAAACTATAATTCGGTTCCTCTAAGTAGATCCGATACTTTAAGAAACCGTATTGCATAAAAGCGAGTTAAATTTTTATGACGTTCAGTTTGTGGAAGAGTTTAAAAATTATCTTAGTGTCTGCAATATCAAGGCAATGTATATAATATCTTTCATTTAGAAGATCCTTCTGCGAAATTGTCCTAGAAGTGATTGTCTAACTTACCCGTTATAGAGTCAGTTGGATTTGACAATAGATGTTACAGACCTGTTGGAGTTGATCGAACGCCATTATTTATTTAGGCTTACCAACTATATACATACAGAACATTGACGTGCAAATACGTTTAACTTAATCATAATGTTGTGACAATATATGTACATATTTAAATTACAGCTAAACACAAATACATACATACACAAATACATTACAGGTAAACCTTAATTCTCCTGGGACACTCCTTATTTACTTCCCCTTTGGTGAGTGCGGTATTAGGAGTCCATTCTCCTAAAAATTGTCAACGCATTTGCAACCACTTATTTTTATTTTTATTTTGGTTATTGTGGATTAACTGCACTATATTCTCTATATGAGGTCAATCGCCAACTAATACCTCACCATCTATCGTAAGAGGAAATTTAAAAGTCAGCCCAGCAGCCCCGGCCAAAATTTGCCCCGTCCAAAACCACCGTTTGATTAGTCTCGTACTAGACTCGCGTCAGTCGGTCGGTGTTGGAGTACCACCGAGTCTATTGAGTCTTGAAGTGCGACCGCATCGTGTTAATTTGACAGTGCTAATTCAATGATAGCGAAACACGCGAACGCCTAATTCGCTCTACACGCGCACCGTCGACATTTGATCCACGACGTGTTTCGAGGTGGCGTGCCACCATGCCGACGTTGATGCCATCACACGCGTCCCCAATGCGGAAGTTTTCGACAATCGTATCCGAGATGATTAGGAATCAATATTCACTATACGCTCAATATTCCCTAGCAAAAGTTTTGCTTGGGAATATTGAACAAGTGTCTTTTGCGTTCACTTGTCGGGTGATAAAATTTTGCTATGCACCGGAATTATGTTAATGTTATTAATAATTGGCAATTATGTTAATGCACAGCAATTAAATAGCAGAACAATTATTTATGGATAAGCTAGTTCAATATTCAACCTTTTTGTTTACGCCTTCTGTTACGCCTTTACTGCGTAAAGCTTCGTCGATTTTAGGACACGTAGGAAACCGTATGGTTAATTTGATTTAAAAAGAAACGCCCCCTGTACTAATAGGGAATAGCTCTTGTGTTGCGGACGGTTTCACAAATATGTAAATCACGGACACTAGGCACGAACACACTGGGACCATCTATCTATGGGATGATCAACAAATTTTTGCCTAATGGTGCTCACAACTCACAAACGTCCGTACAGTCCAACAATTAATCCAACCAGTCAACTGAGAAGAATTCGTGGTTTATTCCGGATATGTTTATGTTATCCCCTTTTATCCTAACGGTGATTCAATTTCCGCCTCAACGAACAGAACAGTGAACGGAATATGCAACAACTGCTGATGCTTGGTAAAAATAAGCGCGATGTTAATGTGCCTAAATTTTAATACATTAGAAAAATGTTAATGTTCAGGTGAAAGTGCGAAGTAAAAGCGTTTATTTTAAATATTCAAGATTTTTCGCGTTGCGTAACGTTTTGTTGTCTATCATTACGCTTAGTGTTAGTTCAGTTTATAAAGCTTTAAAAATCGATCCATAGAGCTGAGAGCGAAATTATTAAAAAAAAATCATTATGATCACAGCACATGCATCATATTATAAATGAGCTGTTACTTTTTAATATTGTTTAAATATGCGTCTATATTTTGCGGTTTAAGATATTAATGCTGTGCTGTTTTGTTTCAGTTTTAAAATGCTTACGACTTTCGTCGGATCCCGTCACTTTGAGGCTGAAAAAGGGTGAGTTTCGTTCGATACGCGATTAATTTATAATTTATCCATTAGCCATTTGTCCAATGAACTATGACATTCAGGCGAACGAGGCGGCTGCAAGTAGTAAAGTTCGCATATCCCCGAGTGGATTCGTTGGGTCTGCGGGGCGCGGATCCGTAATTTTATAGCTGGTCCGAGATTATTATACTAGTTCGGGACCTCTTATTGCCGACCTTACGCACATAGTAATCTACCTTCTGGCTTTCTGTACGCTCTTATGTTCACAACGGCGACAATCTTTTCGCACTTTTTCTACATATTTTAACGCTCTTATTTTTTTTTTAACCTTCTTATTTTCTATTAATGCCAACGGTCTGATAACTGGCTAATATTGTACACATTGATGGAATAAAATTTACTATTTCTTTTTTTCTGATCGTGTTAACAGCTTAATAAATGGATTTTGCAAAAATTATTATTTATACGGAAACAATCCCGTCTGTAAAAAGTGAGATCTTTGTCCAGCTATCGGACGTTGCTATAATCGTAGCACACCAAAAGCGGGTACGCCAAACGTTTATCGCTCACGTGTAGAATGCGCGTATTCAGTTTTCTAGAAATTTCGGCGAGTCCTACGGCGGCGTCGGTCGGTTGTTCTATCGAATTACCGGGCGGTGGGAACGGGCGGGCATTAGTGTTGGCGCGAGTGGCCGCCGCCGCCGCTTCGACCTAATATGATTACGTCCAGATGAAAGTACCCGATAGCCGTCTAACTCCAGTGCTGTCGTAACGCTCTAACTGAACGATGCAATTACATCGTATCGCCTCCACACACGCTCCTCGGCGAGTGTCGAAGTTCGCAGGGCCATTAAGTTATATGTTTTAATACGATATGATGGGTACTTTTGTTGTCCGCTCTATTAACGTATTCTAAAGGCGAAACTATTTACTCAGGATAACACGATTGTAACAATAGTTCGGGTTATTGGTTATTGCCTCGATGAGGCAAAGTGAATATTCGGTGAGTGCAGTGAAGTGACATTTTATTGGCTAAATCACGTTACAGAGAGGTCTTCTACACTGCCTTAGCAGTCGGGCAGGTGCGGGTCGGGGAATCGAACCCCATGACCCGGCGATTGTCTCGAGGGGCGCACCGTCTCCCTCGGAAATGTGACCTTGTATCGGCTCGGACAATATGTCGTCACTGTCGTTTCCATTCGGAACTTTGAAGGAGTCGTCCAAGAATGGCGCATTTATAATAGGTGTCGCGTGTAATATTTATCTATTCACTAACTTTTAGTTAACCGCTACCATTACAGAGGTACACCCAATGCGTTAGACTTATATAAATAATTGTAATGTATGTGCAGTCTTCAAACATTGCAAATAATAAATGACCCTTGTGAGTTCACTCAAACTCATTGTAAGTAAGTTTTGTGGTTGAGACCTTCTTGCGACCTTATAGTTAAACCGAGTGATGATCATTGTAGCATGAAGTAGTGGAACTCGGCAGTAATTGTTTAAGTTTCATTTTTTGTTTGTTAGACGTGAAAAGCTTTCTGAAGGGAATTATGTCTAATATGTGAATAAATACAATTTCTATTCGCTTTTGGCCACTTTAATGACTGGTATAGCAGTGCAAATAGGACAATTCTGTACTGGTTACAACAATGTTTGTGCACAAAACTTGAGAATACCAAACAACAGGGTCCTCTAGCTCCTAGTTTCCGCACGCCGTCTTGCAGAGACCTGTACCGTAGTCCTGTATAAGTTTCCAATCCTGTGGTCAGTCCCTGGTCAGTGTCGTCCTTGATAACGTTCGTGGTGCACGGTGTGTGTTGCAGACCCGGAGATTAAGGCGAATGTGAGGCGATACATCGCGGCGGCGGCGGAGCGACGGGCCGCCGCGGCGCGGACAAAGCACGACAAGTGAGTACGCGACGAGTTCGTCGCTCGTCGTTAGACTGTCATCGTATAGGTTAAGCGGCTATGGATCCATCCGGCCAGCACAGAGGGAATTATGAATTAGCTAGCCGTGCACACAGTACGCGCCGCTCGCGTACGTGTAACAATGGCTTTGCATTGTACCATTCTTTGAATTTTGCCTGTGATTTGATGTATGTTAGTAAAACATCATCTGCCACGGTGTTCCGAATACGTTTGCCGCATAGAATTATACTTATGGAATTCCTCCGATGACTCTGTGGCGCAGTTACCAAGGTATTCGCGAGTCGCGGGTTCGATTCCCACAACTATTTGTGTGACCCACGGATAGTTGTTTCGCACCCAGGCGTTTTTCCACGTGATACCAATATATGTTTGTAAAACGTCCTTACAACACAGGATAATGTTTAGCAAAAGTAAGGGCAATGTTTTTAGAAACAAAAAATAAAAAATAATAAAAAAGTGTCATATCAAATTTCGAGTATTATATGGAATGTGAACATTTATTCATTTTATTGCTTCGTGCGTCACAGTGATAATTCGACGAGTTTTCAAATAATTTTAAATGTGTTTATTTCTCAATTTTATCAGGATTTATGACTTTCTTAAAGTAACTTGTGTCCTTCATCTGTGTTATTTATATCGACGAGGATATAAATAAACGTGAGCGCCGATTTTAAAACGCGTATTTAAGGAGCTTCCATGACCCGGGTGAGGGGCGAGGGGGAGTTTTTACGATGTTTTATTTTCGTTCACGAATTTATATTTAACCTCACCGCCGTTGTAATGGGACCAGCCCTAAGACGGGCGATATCCCAAGCGATAAGCGATACCCGGAACCATATGTGCCGGGCAGGGGTTCCACCCTACCGCCCTCGCCGCGTCACAACATTGGGGGCGGACACGTGACGCATCAAAACGGCACGGGACGCTTGTGGGGTCACTCGGACCACACATCCGGGGTGAAAAAAGCAGCGCAGTTGATTTAAATTATGGCTGAAACCAATAGTGTTATACACAAATACGAGGTGGATATGATAGCGCACAGAAAGGCACTCAAATTAAGCCCATATGTTTAAGTAGAGACTATAGACTATTGACTAGATTATCTGCCATATTCTCTTACATATGTCATATAATGTAAAAGTAACAGCCTATACATGTCCCACTGCTGGGCAAAGGCCTCCTCTATACAGAGGGTACCGGGCATATTCCACCACGCGGCCCCACTGCGGATTGGCGGACTCATATAATACTCATATAATGTAAAGCGGAACAAAGTTAAGGGTTAATTTTGTCTTTTACGTGTCATCAATTCGATTTCGGACACGATTTTACTAATGGACAATCGGTTCTGAAAATTTACTCGCAACATTTCTGTGTTTAACTGAACTAACTGAAAAGTGAGTTTATCCTGCATCCTTGTTAAGAAAAAATGGGAAACAATTAGCGAGAGGGCACTGTTGGCTCCCGCTAAATGAGACCAAATAGACTCGCAGGCACAAAAGTAATGTGACGTTTATAACGCGGCTGGCTGAAATAGCACTGGCAACGGCTTACCCAATTAAAAATTCCTCCCGCAGGACTCCAAGGGGGCAACAACAATGTCGTATTATGTCTAGGAGCGGTGCAATTAAGCCCCCAGGGTGATAGAGACTTAGACTATCGTCTTAGAAGTTTATTGAAATTAAAAACAACGCAGTAAGATAAAGACAGCAACCTAGGTGCATTTAGAGCTCAGTGTGCGGGCGCTCATCTTTAATTCCATTTATTCGAGCAACCTGAGCGGTGTTCGAGTTCGGTCCCCGGTGCCGGCACCAATGTAATTGTTAGTTTTAAGTGCTGACTTATCACGTGTGCTTAGCGGTGAAGGAAAACATCGTGAGAAAACAGCATTTTTCCAAATAATGACAAAAAACTATTTCGAAGATATATGAAGTTCGCCAATCCGCAGTGAGATCGCGTGGTGAACTATGCCCTGATACCCTCTGTACATAGGACGCATTTGCCCATTAGTGGGACATGTATAGACTGCTACTTTACTTTTTTACTTTGGGTGCAGTTATTGGAATTGTTCAAACCTCATTTTGTGCTTGACGGAGGCTTAGATGCAAATAAATAACGCGTCGCTCTAGGCTCAATGCAGAGATTACACACAATAGCGTTTTAATGACGCATTTTATACTTTTAAACGTGAGCAACTGGGGTGTAATATTATTTTAAATGCAATGTTGTCGTCATCAAATTATGAGCACGGTCGTTTAGAAAATTAGGAATGATACAACAATACACACGGTTCAATTTATTAAAGGCTGCAATATAACGCGTTAAGTTTTTAACGGTTTTCTACGAATGTTTATATACAAAAATGAACCCAATTAAGATTCCAATGAAATTGTTTGTTCGGTTTATTAATGCAAATAATTCGACTTAAGCGCGTACTTAAGTTGAGTCTTCCTTTCGTAATAACTATAGCAATGAGTTTTTATTATTATCTAATGATGAGGAAAGTTGGCAGCGAAAGTTTTGCCATACATCGCTTAGATTTTTAGGTTTGTAGACCGGAACAAAAACAAAACAAACTAATTGTCCGACTTTTCAAATACGCACATTCGCTAATGTTTATTTTTCTTTAGATTAGATATATTGCAGTGTAGTCAGCAAGGGCTAGTCATTGTTAGAAAAATAATTTGATTAGATAAAATCTGATAAAATTCTTAAAATGTCAATTATCTAACGATTTTCAAGAAATTTAGTTCTACACTGGATATGTTTCTTTGTTGTTGTGATGTTTCTTTGTTGTTGTGATGTTTCTTTGTCTCTGTCCAGTTTCGTTTGAATCAGTGTTATCAAGATAAGAAAGATTTAACTCCCCATTTATTGATTTTTCTCCTAGCAAAAACTGTAAATGATGCATCGACTTAAATACTTATTTATTTATTTATTTATTTTATAATTTATGTACACAGAGTTATGGCAGAGATGTAAATAGATGAAATAATTTGTACAAAGGCCCTGCTTATTTCATAAGAAATTTCTTCCAGCAGACCTGTGACTGGAAATTGGTTACAGATGGTAGTTAATTGTGTACATACATCAATTAAAATACACGTATATGCAATAATTATAAATATGATATCATTACTAAAATAAAATATATATAAATACATATATATATATATATATATGTACATACATACATATATATACATAAATAAGTAAATAAATATATAAATATATATGTCGCATTTATACTGCCAAGGAAAGGTAGTGATCCTTAACTCTTTTCTTAAAAATCGATATAGTTTTAGATTCCCTGATTATCGGTGGGAGTGAGTTCCATAATCGAACTGCATGAACAGTAAAGGAATGGGAATATGAAGCGCTTTTATGGGGAGGGAATTTAAGGAGGGTTTTAAGATGGGAACGGCAAGGAGCGTACGGTGGACGAGCGAAAGCAAATCGCTCACGCAGGTAAGATGGTGAAGTAGGGCAATACAGGATATTAAAGAGCAGACATAAAATCCTAGTTTTCCTTCGAAATCGTATTGGAATCCACTTGAGATCCTTGCGAAGATGAGAGACGTGATCAAATTTACGAAGTCCAAAGATAAAGCGTATACATAGATTTTGCAAGCGCTCAAGCTTATTTAGAAGCTCCTCAGTAGCATCCAGGTAACAGGCGTCAGCGTAGTCTATGATGGGTTGGATGAGCATTTGGGCCAGAGAGATTTTAGTCTTTAAGGGCAATACACCCTGGAGGCATTTAAGAGCATGAAACACTATTCTAGTGAACTTTTCGACTAATTTCACTTACATGTGCCCGCCAGGAAAGATTAGATGATATTATTATCCCAAGATCCTTGACGGTATCAGTGTAAGGTATGGGTATATCGCATAACTTTACGGGAGGTATAGTAGAGAAATTGATCGAGTTTCTTGCATACCTAGTACCGATAATTATCGCCTGTGATTTAGTGGCATTAAGCTTGAGTCCAAATGATTTCGACCAAGAGTTTATTCGGTTTAAATCTTCGTTAACAGTAGCAATAGCTAAGTCTGCTTGTGCTGGAGGAAAATGATGATAAAGCTGCAAATCGTCTGCATAGAGGTGAAAATTTGAAGAAATAACTGTTGTGACTGAGTTAATAAAAATAGAAAAAAGTAAGGGAGAGAGAACGCCACCCTGAGGCACACCCGCGCTTAGTTCATAAGAGTTACAGAATGAATTTTCTATCGAACTCGCTGCGAGCGGCCCCGAAGATAAGAGTCAAACCAATTTATAGAGGAAGAGGAAATGTTAATTGAATAAAGGATGCCGAGTAAAATATCAAAATCAACAGAAGAAAAAGCGTTACTGAAGTCAAGCAACACCAGTAAAGTAAGTTTATTTGTCTCCATAGCCCATCGAATATCGTCTGTAACTTTGAGGAGAGCAGTAACAGTACTGTGACTGGGCCGAAAACCGGATTGGAAAGAACTTAAAAGCGAATTAGAACATAGAAAAGTGGATAGTTGAGTATGGACAATGTGCTCAAGAACTTTGGAAAGAAAAGGTAAGATGGAAATGGGCCTAAAGTGGGACATTACAGTCGGACAATTCGAAATTCAATTTCGAATATCGTTTTACAACGATAATTCGAACGAGAGATGTCGCCATAGCTTTTATACATTTTAAAAGTTTTTTATAGTGCTAATCTCTGCACTTTAAGATTGAACATTAAAACATGTAGCCACAGCGGCGACAATCTTTTCGTACTTTTTCTACATGTTTTAATGTTCAATCTTAAGTGCAGAGATTAGCACTATAAAAAACTTTAAAAGAGAAACTTTAAATTCAAAATCGACCCTAAACAGGTTGCGTGAGATGCGAAACGAGTTACTTGAAGAATGACAGAGGGTGCTCAAAGAAACAACCGACAACGTCATTTGCTGCATGCCCAGACGGATTGAAACCCTATCTATCTATTGAACATAGAGGAAACGCGTTGTTAAAATTTCATTTTATTAGTGTTAAACTGTAAAAATCTTCAATTAACGATCGAATCTGTAGTGTCTAAAAATACATTTTATTTGAATTATGATTATTTTCAATAAGATCTTTACCATTATCTATACGTTCGGTTAATCAGTTTTGTTCATATGCCGAGCCGTGATGGCTCAGTGTCCACGGTCCGGGTGCTCGCTTTAAATTCACCATACTCTAGCAACCTGACTCCCGTTCTTGGTGCCCGGCACCATTGACAATTGACAATTGTTAATTACTAGGTAATTTTTTGTGCTGACTTATAACGTGATCAGCGGTGTTCATTACATCTTGAGGAAACGTGCATATTTTCGAAATAATAACGAAAAAAATATTTCAACGATATGTGAAGGCCGCCGATCCGAAGTGGTTTCGCACCGTGGACTACGCACTAATACCCTCTGTACCGAAGGAGGCCTTTGTCCAGGCAGAACATGTATGGGCTGTTACTTTACTTCACACTTTACATTTGCCACAAGGTCGAGCTCACCGCCGTCGAGCCATTCGAACAGCAACTCGACCAGCAACTCGTCGACCAACTCGTCTAGCAACGGGTCGGGGGTGCAGTCGGGTGACAGCTGCGAGGCGTTACTGACGGACGAGAAGGGGAGGCGGGGCAGGGTGAGCCAGCCCAAGTTCGAGGCGTACATGATGACAGGGGACCTCATACTCAACCTGTCCAGGGTGGAGCACCCGCACCACAACCACCATGCGCCGACGCATCGCACACACTTCCACAGGTACGACATCCATCGGTGTGTTACTGTATGGCTGTATGGCTTTTTGAGGGTTCCGTACTCGAAGGATAAAACGGCACCCTATTACTAAGAATCCGCTGTCTATCTGTCCTTCCGTCACCGGGCTGTATCTCATGTTGAAATTTTCAAAGACGATGTATTTCTGCCGCTATAACAAACAAATACAAAAAAAAACGGAATAAAAAAACATTAAAGTTATTTAAATGTATTTTTTAATATAATGTAACATAAGTTAATTGCGTCACAGTGTAGTCGACTCGGCGAGTTCGCGCGAAAGATTCTAGTATTCGCTTTAAAGATCTGCCGAATATCTATAGAGTGTTAACAACGTCGTTACACTAAAATTATGCCAACATATAGTGGAAATAAAATGCATAAGACAAAATTCAGAAGTGCTTTAAATTTGACTAAGAGACTTACCGGGTGCTGGATGACGTAACAAATTAAAATTTAATGGCAACTTCACGTTTAGGAGATTAGACACGTTAGTCGTCCTTTAGTTTCGTTTCTCTTGCTTTGGGTTGACAACACTTGGCAGACATAGAAAATGTGAGTTTAATATATAAATTGCCAGTAGCCTAGAGTGTCTATGTGCGTTACACAAGGTGCAGGTTCGAATCCGTGCAGTGGCGAAAATTTTTTAACAATTTATAGTACTGAAAATAAAAATAAAAACATTAATATTCTTCATTTTAGAACTATGTATATATCTTTTAATAATGTAAGTGCATATTGCTTACATAAAAAGTTTCCCTTAAATTAAACTTTTCTTTTTCACTTAAATTTATTCACAGATACAATTCAACGCCTGCGTCGCCGAGCGAGAACCGCTTGGCCGCCCGCGTAGAACTCACCCAAAGGCACAACTCTTCCCCGGATACCGGCCTAGTCTCCGATCACGCAAATAAAATGTGCGTATCACATATCAATGTCTCGGCTGTCGCCTTTTAGGCGTTGTAAATTTCAATGGGTTAATGTAAATCATTATGGCTCATTTCACATGCGTATTTATCAGCAGAATATAACCCATACGCGACCCAAACGGGCTATAGACTAGCTAATGCTAGACGAATAGAAAGCCTACTGAATGTTAAATTGAAATATTACCTGTACAATTATTGACAAAACGATTTCGGGAGATAAATAGAGAATGGATTGCTCAGTACATACTGAGCAATCAAAATGAAGAAATACTTGTAGATTAGTCGCCACGCCCGATGTCTGAAACTAACCCTTATTGTCGTTGTAAATAGAGTATGAAATTGCGTGCATCGATGAATTTTAGAGATTTTTAGAGATTTTTTAATCGTTCGTTGTATAGTAGAAAAGCGAAATTACTGCATTCTCTACCAGCTAACCTAGGTAAAACAAAGAAATTGAGTACTAGTAGAGTAGAATTTCGCGTGCAGGGAGAGCCGGAGAGCATAACCGTAGTAATACTTCCATACATACATGTGTTAACCATAAATCACATACCTAATAAAAATACTTAAATGTTTGTGATATAATATATACATATATATAAATTTATAAATATTTTCCGATGTTCGGTCAAAGTAAAACACTATACTGTAACTAAGCAACACATCAGCTAGGATATGCTCAAAGAGTTTTCTCTTAAAAACGTTTTTTGATGGCGGCGTCGCAGGTCAACAGGGTTCCGTGCGAGATTTTTCGTTCGTTGTCCGAGCCCAGAGTACTAGTAGAGCACTTCGCGTGCAGGGAGAGCCGGAGAGCATCGTCCGAAACCAATCCTTATTCTGTTTGTGAATAGAATACAGTCGCGAACATCTCACCCGCCGATCGATATCAATAGCCTTGAGCAGAACGGATTAGGGTTTTATCACCTGCAGGTACAGTCGCGAACAGCTCACCCGCCGATCGATATCAATAGGGTAGAACGGAAGTGTTACGGTTTTTTCTGTTTTGTCCGGTACCCCTGAGCGCAAATCATAGGACCCCGCTTGTGAATAATTGTCTGTAAATGACATAGTATGAATACTTTCACTTTACACCTCCTATCGTCTGTGAGGCCCTAGTACTTTCCCGTATGGACCGACACAGTCATGCTACAACAGAAGCGAGTTTTAAGTTGCATTCACCGCAGATTGCCAACATTATCAATTTATTTTCACTTCGTTAGGGCCACTTAGCTGCTTCTCAGGGCAGTTCTAAGGACCAGTTTAAGTACCACGGCCTAGCAGAGCGGTGTGAAGTGGATCTACTACATGTTAAAAGTCTCATATTAACTCATAACAAATTCTTACACAAAACTCTTCATCGGACAAATAATTGGCATGACGTATTTATGAATTCCAGAAAGAGTCCTCCCTGAGTGCGGTCGCGGTGGAAATGGAGGAGGACGTGACGTCGTCACTGAACACGCTGCTGGACGCGCGGCCCGACTCGGCTACGCCCGGCCCAAGGTCTGACTCCGATTTAGAGCGGGATAGGTAAGGTTTCTTCACAAAGGAACAGGTTGCGCGAATTGGGTAATGGATTCTGCAAACATTAAGAAACTCACGACATGTAGCGTTTGAAATGCCCATAGGCAACATGAATCACGTATTTCTTAATTATTAGTTCGATTATCCTTTATTTTAATGCGGTGAATGCACTATTTGTGTATAATTTTATTTGGAATCATTTTCCACATCACTCATCTCAAACAATGAATTATTTGTTGCAACAAAATGTTTTATTTGTCCCGTCTACCTTCAACTAGTCACTGTGAACTTGACTTTATAATTTTGTACATTCTAATTGGTCGGGGGCGGGGCTAGGGACAGGGAACGATGACACTGCTTTCTTAACACGAATGAACTATGGTAGTTGTGGCTATGCGTTAAGGGGATAAGTTTAAGTAAGATTTCGATCATTAATTGGTTAAATTTAATTTTAAACGGTTAAATTGTGTTTTTGTTAGTATTGGTATCCATTCAACAGGATCGTGTGGACGTACAACGCGCCCGTTTCTTCCGCGTCAGAGCGAACGCACTGCAACGGCTCTGGCGCTACCTCCAACTCTACCTCGATATCAGACGGCATGTCGCAACGGTACGATGCCTACTCCATATCACATTAAACTGCTTTAACCCATCATTATGCCTAGTTTAAGTCGTTGTGAACGCATTGTGTTATAATACTGTTACTAAATTTGCAGACCCGTACTAACTCTTTATTATGCCCGATTTTGGATATTTTATTTCCTAAATGTTCTGTCTTGCATTTATGACTTAATAATACTCGTGGTAAAATTATGACATAAAACCGATTATCGCCGGCAAATACGCTCTCAAGCTACTAAGCCGCCAATGCGTGTAGAAATGTTTCAGCTTATACTGACTGTACTTAACTGAACTGACAGCTAATGAATATAATATTAATAATGATTTTTTAAGCGAGGAAACGGTTCAACTTTTGCAAAACGATAACCGACCCCATTGACGTCACCACCCGTGCGATTGTCACATCGGGCCCGGTTGGCTCACTCGCTAAATGCAATAGTAGAAACATTAATGTGCTATGCTAATCATTTGCTAAATTCAAAAAACTTGTAAAGGGACGTTTGTGTATTAAAGGCATAATAATATTAGTGATTATTTAAACGATAACGCACTGGTGTATTATATTATTTAAACGATAACACAATGTATTAAATGGAATTTAATACATTACAAAAAAAATACAAATATATATACAATATATTAAATGGAATATTTTTTTTGTCAAATTATGTTAAAGAAGTATTGTCCCGCCGAGTCTATCGCCAAATGACAATCTCATCAAATTAATGAATATAGTGTCATTGGCATAAAGGATAACAAAATGCCAGAATCGTGTAAAAAAACAATCAAAATCAAAATCAAAAATATATTTATTCAAATAGACGCTTGCGCGCTCTTATGAATCGTCAAATTTTACATCAAAGATTATGTGTATAGGTTCGTAAGGTACCACCGGTTCGGAAAGCGGTTTCTGTTGAGAAGAGACCGGCAAGAAACTCAACAGTTGCTCTTTTTCAAAAATATCAGGTTACAATATAATATACAGGTATAATAGTCTTATTCTAGCCTACGTGAGTATCAACAGTATTAACTCCACACATTGGCGTCGTCGAGATATTCCGAAATGGTATATTGGTCAAGCGGCAGACTTAATATCGACTGTGAGATTTTATTATACATGCGCACACTTTGCCCCATGAACGACTTATTTACTTTTTGTAGACGAAACAATGGCGTAGTAAGTTTGTCATTATTTCTAGTGTTTATTTTATGTCTGTCACTATTCTTTAGGTAATAATTAAGGTTATGACGTATATAAAAACATTACAATAAATGTATTGAGAAACTACAGTGAGTATATTAACCTCTTTGAAAAGATCTCTGAGTGAATTCCGGGCTCCGATATTGTAGATTGCTCGGACAGCTCTTTTTTGAAGAATAAATATAGAATTTATATCTGATGCACTACCCCACAACAAAATGCCGTACGAGAAGATGCTGTGAAAATAACTAAAGTAAACAAGTCTGGCAGTGTCGATGTCTGTTAGCTGCCTAACCCTTCTAATCGCAAAAACCGCGGAGCTCAGCCTATTCGCAAGAGATGATATATGGGGACTCCACTGGAGCTTTGAATCTACTGTAATTCCCAGAAATACAGCAGACTCAACTGGATTAATGGGTACGTTATTTAATATTAAACTAAAACTTTTCCTTCTTATACTGGGAAGGGTAAAAAGAACACATCTGGTTTTTTTGGCATTTAATACCATATTATTAATAGTAAACCAGTGGAGGATATGTGAAAGTGCACTATTCACGTAGTCATAATTTAATACGTTTCGGCCAACTCTAAAAATAAGCGATGTATCGTCAGCAAACAGTACAACATCACACAACCCACTGGCATAAAAGGGGAGATCATTAATATACACTAAAAATAATAATGGGTCCAAGATTGATCCTTGTGGGACAATGAATATAGAGATATTTGAATTTGGATTACGTTCCCCGCAGGTCGTCGTCGCCCGCGTCGCCCACATCCGTGTCGTCATCGGTGATGTCCTCCCGCGCCACGCCCACCCACCGAGCGCCCGCGCTGCTCACCACCTCGCAGCACTCGCAGCACTCGCACCGCCCGATCAACGGTAGCCCCGCACGTGTACCGTCGCGCGCACAAGTCGAACTGTCGCACCGATGAGCGGACTCCCTACGAGCGGCGTAACAACGCTGTTCGTGACTGTACACAGATCGAACTGTCGTGTCGACAAAGCCTACTATTCTCTTAGAGCTGCATGACAACGCTGTTTGCGACTGTACGCAGATCGAACTGTCATATCGTATCGATAAAGTGTACTACTCCCTCGGAGCTGAATACAGGCGCTGTTCGCGACTGTACACTGATCAAACTGTCATCTCAATAAGGCCTACTACTCCTTTATAGCTATAGAGGAGGCGTTGTACAAACAAAAATTAAACAATGAAAAACGCCCAGATTCAGAACATTTATCCGTATGTCATAATTATCATTATCAACTGCGCAAAATATATCACTAGCGATACTATAAGTGTGTTTAATTTATACGTTCAAAGATAAACATTTTTTCTTTCTCTTTCCAGGCGACATGAGCCTCTCGGAGGCGGTGTCGAACATATCCAGTCCGGACTACCAGGACCAGGACGACATGTTCGAGGCGGGCCGCGAGTGCCCCCGCATGGAGCTCTCCGACCCCTCGGACTCGGACTCCACGATCCTGGTGTCGGAGCCGTGCCACAAGCGCGCCAAGTCCGACTCGCCGTACTCCAACGAGCAGGACAGCGACGTCACCCTCAACGGAACAACGGAGCGCAGCAAGGACTACAGGATAGTGATACAGGTGAAGGGGCCCGACAAGCTCAACGCGAACGCCGGCGACGCGGCTAACAACAATAACAACAACAACAGCAATTACACGCAAAACGGAAAGGAGAACGGCTGCAACTCGCCCGAGAATCAGGGATATCAGGTGAGTCTCTAACACGGTCGCTTAGTTGATGCCGTTTTATATGACCACATGTTTATGGAAAAATCAAATGAAGATGCCTTAATCAATCGTTGCCTAATGACATAATACAGATAGAACCGATTATCATGTTCCTGTTTATGGGTGTGTAATAAATGCATGTAATACTGTGGTGGTTATATTTAGTACTGTTCGTTATGCCGATGCTCTTATCTGGATTGCTTTTCTAGGGTTCATGGATGATGGATTTAAATTAAGCTCTAGTCGAGCCGTTAATTTTATAGAGTACTAATAAAATATCCTTTAATGACAAGCATGTGCAAGTATTAATTATTACTACCTTATTCGACGTGCATGTTTAGATATATGTCGGTGTAGAAAATATACTAAGGCAAAGATTAGAAAAAGGTGTTATCTGTGTTCTTTACCTACCCCTCTTAATGGCATGCCTTAATATTTGGCCACAAGCCGCCTGCCTGACGTCAACCAGCCCTTAGAACAAACGCCCAGATCCGGAACAATTTAAACAAGTCAAACAAATATTTATCCCGTGTGGTTATCGAACCCACGACTCGCGGCGCCACCACTGCGCCACTCAAGCATCAGTGGTTATTTTACATAAAATAATTATATATACCCTTTTATTGTTTTACATATAACTTTTTTGCAGTTGAGAATTGTCGGTTTTAGGAATTAGGGTGTGGATCGGACGGGGGTTCGGATGAGGGTTCGGACGGTGATTCCCTGCATTCGTTCCACTATAGTCCAAAAGCCGTGGATATACCGTCAGCTGAGCGGCTCGCGAAGCGGCTGTACCATCTCGACGGGTTCAAGAAGTCCGACGTCTCTAGGCATTTAAGCAAAAAGTTAGTAACACTAAATATATGCTACATAGAATATGCAAAAAATCACTTACCAAATGTAAGATGGGAAGGATTGAGGTGTCAAGTCTTGTCTTATCAAAACATTTGACAAGCATTTGAAAGTAAATAAGCTCGGAATTCAAATTTAAAATGAAGGCCCTGAAATCTGTAAAATTAGTTTAATTAAATTATGACTAGTGTCTGAGAAATAACGTTCAATGATTATATATTATATATAGTTCAATGATAATATTGAATGTTTTGTAAAAAAAATATCGATGTATATAATAAAAATTGTCGACACATCGATATTTTTGCGACATCCCTAGCGGGGGGCGGGGGTGGTTGGTGTCGAAAGTGCATCTCTAAGAGAAAGCGCCGTTTCAGCAACGAGTTCTCGCGCGCCGTGGCCGAGGAGTACGTGAAGCACTTCGAGTTCAGCGGCGCCACGCTGGACGAGGCGCTGCGCCGCTTCCTGGCGCGCTTCGCCCTCTCCGGCGAGACGCAGGAGCGCGAGCGCGTGCTGGTGCACTTCTCGCGCCGCTACCTCGAGTGCAACCCGGGCTCCTTCCACTCGCAAGGTACACCGGCTGTATGAACATGCTTTATCGAACTCGAACATTGTCCGAACGTCGTAACAGCGTTCGAGTAACATGCTATATCGTACTCGAAAATTATCCGCACTGAGTAAAAATCGTGGTCGAGTTAGAGTGATGAGCACGTAGAGTAACATGCTTTATCGAACTCGAACATTATCCATACTGAGTAAAATCGTGGTTGTGTTAGAGCGATGAGCACATAGCGTAAGTACAATGCTTCATCGAAATCGAACATTATCCGTACTGTGTAAAAGCGTGATTGTGTTCGAGTGATGAGCACGTAGAGTAACATGCTTTATCGAGTTTGAAAATTATCCGTACTAAGTGTGCTCGATTGATATCTTCGAATGATGAGCACGTAGAGTAACATGCCGTATCGATATCGAATATTATACGCGTTCGAGTGAGTGACTTGTGGTAACGGCCAACGGCCCGCAGACGCCGTGCACACGCTGACGTGCGCCATCATGCTGCTGAACACGGACCTGCACGGGGGCGCGGCGGGCGCGGGCGGCGGGGGCAGCGCCTTCCGCCGAATGTCCTGCGCCGAGTTCATCGACAACCTGGCCGACCTCAACGACGGCGACAACTTCCCGCGCGACACACTCAAGCACCTCTACCACGCGATCCGCACGCAGCCGCTGCAGTGGGCGCTGTGAGTATTTCTTTCTCATTTTTTTCTTTTTTTTTTGTTTGTCGGTCTCTCCTTCACCCGTAGCCTTTCGTTCTCGCTGCAGCAGTGGGTGCTTTTTTTTTGCATTTGAACGACCGCTGCGACCTAGAAAGATCTTCCCTTCGAAAACAGTGCTCTCTTACTGTGGGATAACATTATCCTGTGTTTTAGGTCGCCTTACATATTTAAACTTCACGTGAACATAACACCCTGATCCGAAACTACTATCGTCGCGTGTGGAAATTTAAATTTCTCATAAATAAAACAAACACTTCAAAACCGACGAGCCGATTGGTTTGGTGAACCGGTTTCGCTAAGGAGGTTGTAGGAACAACCTATTGGAAAAATATTGTGCGATGGACATAGTTTTTTTGTAGTAATTAGAGTAACAGTACAAGCTTCGTTTAGTTGGGCACTAGATGGCGTTGCATTTTATTACCTGTGCTAAGTACGTCACATTACGACGGCAGCGACGCGGAAGCCAACCAGACGTCGGCGACGGAGGCACGCGCGCCGGTCGGCAGCAACCCGTTCCTCGACGTGCCCGACCAGAGCCGCGCCGTCGAGTACAAGAAGGGCTACGTCATGCGCAAGTGCTGCGTAGACGCCAACGGCAAGAAGAGTAAGCCTCTTCGCTTCCTTATCTTCGTATACACAGAATGTCCGAGTTAGCCCCCTCACGTCCTATACTCGTATAGACAGGTGTCTGTCCAAACAGTCGTTACAGCACCTATTACAATAATGAGGTTATTCCACGTGCAGCGGTCAGATCAGAGCCGGATTCAGAGGTCTGGAGGCCTTGGGGCAACAAAGGAGTGGAGGCCCCTTGGCCCCAAACTATTTTCCATTGATTTCTGTTAATACTTAATGTAATCATGTTACTATGTACTCTACAAAGTACTCTATGTAAATGACGAAAAAAAATTAAAGGCAAAGTTGTTTACTAGTAAAAAATTCAAATTTAGAGTAGTAAACTAGTCTGAATTTGAATTTTTTTTCTGAAATCTCTATTGTGGAGGCCCCGGGACTGTGGCCTCGGTTGCCCTTCCCTAAATCAGGCCCTGGGCCAGAAAAAAATGTTGGTGCTTTCGATTTTAGTAATATTTGAATATATTATATCTCTATATGTCCTAAATCCAGGTACAAAGTATTTTTACAGATAAATGAAATAAAGATAAACAGTAAAATTTATACTTCATTTAATGAATGCGCTACATAAATGCATTTTTGGATATTTAAAAAATGAATAAAATTTTCAATATCACATAGTCAAATATTAATTATATCGTAAACACCAAAATTTTTATGTAGTTGGAGATAATCTGTGTTTAAAATAATTGATATGGTTTATAGTAGTACATAGATGATATTGGCAAAAAATAATCTGAACGAAGTAAGTTTTTGCCGAGTAGTTTTTTAAGCATTGAGTTCAATGCAAGTCTGATGGTTAACCGAAATATCATAATAAATGGCCGTTTGCCCTCCCTGCTCTAGCACCGTTTGGACGACGTGGGTGGAAAATGTTCTACTGCACACTGCGGGACTTAGTTCTCTATCTGCACAAAGACGAACACGGTTTCAGACGGAGTCAGATGTCGGATAACTTGCACAATGCTATTAGGTAATAAACACACATTATGCTCTATGTTGTAAGTATCAACACCTTTTAAACCGAACCTTCTCTCTATTGCAGAATACACCACGCCCTGGCAACCAAAGCGACAGATTATACGAAAAAGCAACACGTGTTTAGATTGCAAACAGCGGACCAGTCTGAATATTTATTCCAGACTAGGTGAGAACACACTCTTCCACAGAAGACAAAATAGAAGTACATATAATTAGTTTAGTGAGTGAGATAATAGGAGGCTGAAGCTTAGGGTGAAAATCTCAACGTTTTTTAGCTATGTTTGGAGTTATCTAATGTGCTTCAAAAATTCTCTCTCCATCTCTTATATATCTACTATACACAACATTGAATGAATTAAGAAACTTTTTATTTATTTCGACGTTTCGAACACAACACAACTCGTGCTTTATAATGTATTGAACTCCAGCGACTCGAAGGAGCTGTGCTCGTGGGTGGAGACGATCAACTTCGTGTGCGCGGCGTACTCGGCGCCGCCGCTGGCCGGCGCGGTGGGCTCGCAGCGCAAGTTCCAGCGGCCGCTGCTGCCCTGCACCCACACCAAGCTGGCCATGGTGAGGCCAGAGTCTAACCCTTTTTATGTGAGAGGGTGGCAAGCGAGCAGGTGGTTCACCTGAGGTTAAGTGATAACCGCCGCCCATTGACATTTGCAGCACTCTGCAGATGTGTTCCCATGCCCTTCAATAAAATGGGCCCCGGCTGCCTCACTCACCAGACGAAACGCAGAGGTTTTCTGTGTGGTTCGTTTGACTTACCCGGACGGACCTGCACATTCGTAATACATAGTGCAACAGTACTTACTGCAACAATACTTTTCCGTGGTCCTATCCAAAATCACGTGGCGTGGCGGGGGCACTGCGCAGAATATTCAGAATCACAACGCAGGCCAATTGAAATCCTTGTCGAATATTAATCGAAATAAATTATCATGTGACTTCTATTCAGTGTCAGTGATGTTCAGTGATTACCGCTGCCCATTCGAAATATTAAGTTACAATTAAAGTAATATTGCTAATTTACAATAATACAGTTCAATTTTGTTTAAACATTGCCTTTACTGTAGAATAATGTTGTGTTGTGTTTTAAAGACGTTTTACAAACACGTATATTAACGCCCAGATCTGAATTAATTTTCTGTGGGTGGTTATCTCGTGTCGGAATCGAACTCAAGACCACCGGCTTCGAAGCCCATACCTTGGCAATTGCGCCGCGGAGTCATCAAGTGATTAGGTGATTACCAATATCCGAATGTTGCAGCGCGAGCAACTGGCCGACCACGAAGAGCGGGCAGCGCGACTGGAGGAGGAGCTGGCGGCGCTGCGCAGCTCCCGAGACGCCGCGCACACACACGCGCACCACGCACACTCGCGCGACAAGGACCACTACCTCGTGCACGAAGTAATCACCTTACTTATTGACCTTGGTAGACAAGTTCTTTTAGTATGTATTACGCAATATAGAAGGTATAATAGTAATTTAAGAAATATTTGAACTATAATGTAGATAATAATTAATACTTGATGATAGTTATGTCATTCGTACATACCGCATTGCTACCTCACTCACCAGACAAAACGCAGAAGTATGACACTTCCACTTCACGCCTGTCTCCTGTGAGATCGTGGTACTTACCCGGACGAACCTGCCCATTCGTGCAACAGAGAAGACTGTTGCAGGTTCGAGGCCACCTATAAGCATTATGCGTAACTGTGTAAATATTACGCCAGTGCGTAACCTTGTACGTATGCGTGCGCAGATCAAGAGGTACCGCACGTACGCGTACGTGATGCGGGCGCGCGCGGGCGGCGCCGGCGCGGAGGAGGCCGCGCCCGCGCTCCCCGAGCGGCCGCAGCTGGCGCACGCGCACGCGCACCAGCCGCACCAGCCGCCGCCCTGACGCGCCATGGCGGTGTTCGCCGCCTGCGTCCTCTGACTGCCCGCCGCGCCCGCGCCCTGCTGCCCGGCGCGCCGCCGCCCGCCCGCCCGCACACCGCCCCCACTCGCCCCCGCCGCCGTCATCGCCCAGCCGCCGGCTTCCGGGACAGTGGCGCGCTCGCCCGCCGGTAGCTGGGGCTCCGGGCGCGGACGCCGCTGACCGACCGCCGACTTCGAACAGTGATGTGCACTCGCGCCCGTCGGAAGTCCTCCAATGTGCCACCGACTCGAGAAACCGCAACGCCGAACTCCCAAGCGATAATTTAATCAGAACAACAGTGCAATGGTAGGGTGCGTCCACCCCAGTTGATGTTCGCACACACACACACACACACACACACGCACACACACACACACACACACACACACACACACACACACACACACACACACACACACACACACACACACACGCACACACACACACACACACACAGACAGAGAGAGACAGACAGACACACACTTTCATTTAAGGATCCTTGAAACGAAAATACTTTAATTAAAAAAGCTTATTTAAAGCCTCGACTAAACCAACCCAACAAATTAAAATCACTTACACTCAAACAAAAACAAACTTCTATCTATACAAACAATTTTGAAACAGCTCCGAAGAAACAACCCATTTTTATTTTTATTTAACGTTTCTTTATTATCAACATTTGTTACATAAAAAGTTTACATATTTAATCTTAGTGAATCAACACTCTTTCACAAAATTTTATGTACCACTCAAACTAGGAACGCCACTGATGTTGAATTTTCTGTCAGTGAGCCATTGTTTGTTATGTCGCAGTGGTCTCACAAAGCGAAAGTGCACTGGTGTCTCCCATACTGCAACCATTGAAACAACGACGGATCCTAAACTTAATGCGGTGCCCTGTTCTATTGATCGAAATTTCGTGCATTGCGGAACTTATAATGACGGGTGGAGGATTTTAAAGGCCTCTATGGACCTTTGTTACGAAAAATAACTGTATCGACTTCTAAATTTTTTCGTCATGGGCACACCATTAGAAATATAGATTTAAAATGTATTCTGGTATCCGATTGTATATCTTAATTACAATTAACTGATTTTATAAAGCCGATATTGGCTTTAGGAAAAACAAAGGGAATTAATACTTAATTGAATTGAAATTTTTAAGACTAACTTAACGATTTGCCCACCTTATGCTCATTAATATGTATTTACGTGATAAATTGTTAAGTGTCTAAAACCTAAATATAAGGAGTATTTTAGGTATGAAATTATTAAACATTTCAAGTGGTTAAGTGTGAACTAAGTAATTTATTTAATGCTGATTTTATATTAAACAGTTGTAGTTTCTTAAAATTTATCGATACGAACATCTTTCCATTTTCAATTCGACTTGCAATAATTGTAAAGGAGAAACTTGTTTATAAATTAATTAAATTAAATAAAAAGGTCTAACATGTAATTATAAGGTAGTAGTCTATGAAATATGAATGGCTAAAAGCGGCGCAAGTTTTGTTGTGCGAATCGAGAGGCTCCTAGGAACATTCAGCTCTTACTTCCCCGCCAATGGACCTCCGTCAAAAGACTGAATAAGATACTCAAAACGACATTCCATTTCCGATATTGACGAAGTGAAGGGCAGCGGTACGGACGCGGCGGGTGCGGTTTTAATACTTTGTAAAACGACACATCAAATTATCGCGAAAAAAAAAATTTCGTTCATCTAGTCCTGTCTTCCTGGCGACACATTTGGTTATTGTTGTTCCTGCAATCCCCATACGCATATAGCTATGGGTAAACGTAGGCAAGTTAGAAGTTCAAATGTAAATATAAAGTACAGAACGAAAAGTATTTTTCACTATTTCGTTGACGTGTTTTTCACTTGTATGTAATACCTCATTATGTTTTTTGGCGCAAAGCCTTGTGTATTATTCAGTACTTTAGTGGGTATAATATAATAATAAATGTTATATTATCCCTACTAAACTTTAGTGGGTATATTAATTTAAAAAGAACCGAGGAACTGCTTTGTTTCAACAGGATGTAAACGTCGGCGAATTGATGTTATTGAAAGTTATGTTATGTTGTATTTTGGTGCCGCTATTCGAGCTAGCTTTATGCTTTAAACTTAAATTTTTTGTCTATTATTGGCTTGATTATGTATTGTATTGAAATTATTTAAACCATTCCAAGTTATGGTGTAGGCATATTTGGAAGCGGAAACTCTGCAGCAAGAATACAATATAAATAAATATCATTTGCAACAGCTGGATTTATAACAATGTATATAGATTTTATAGTGTTGAGACTGATAAGTGAGGTTATTTATTTTGTTTGTAAATCAACCAGTGTCAAATCTTAGGCGTCAATATTCAAGCACCTTGGATCTCGGACGCAAATGTATATTTATTATATTTATCGGTACGTGTATGGGTCGCTATCTACACTGGGAACATAGAAAGGAGAATAAATGCGGGCTTTGAATTTTATAATAACATTCTATGTAACTATAGTTTGTAGTATAGCCGATAGTGCCAGTAAAGTGATATTAGATCCTTCGATTGTATTAATTGTGATTATTTTTGTCATTATTATTTTATAAAAATGTAAAGTGAATTATCGTATTTTTGTTATAAAAGTATGGAACTTATCTATTCTCGTAGCACGATCTTTACCATTCGTTTCATAAGTAGTGTAGAATCACCGAGTACCTCTCCTTGTTCTAGAGATGTTATATTATTGGATCTATGTATTTGTAAGTTGTGTAGATAATGAAAGGCGATTTTGAAATTGAATATGCAGAATATAAGTTTATGTAAAAATCATTTAAATTAAAGATTATCATCATTTATTATGCGGTATGCAGCTAATAAGGTATTGTTCAATATTGTAACACTAACACAGAAATCGTGATAAGCAACAAGGCATTAACTAACAGTTATGACACACGCCATGTAATACATTGGTGATTTAATAGAGTAATCACACTTTTTAACTTTTGAAATATTTGTCGAAATTAATCAAATGTTACCCCATTTTTATATGAAATGTTCAAAGTCTAATTAAGTCAACTACGCAACGAGCAGGTAATTTTACATTGAATAGTTTTATATAAAGTTAATTCTAAGATAATATTTATGGAGAGATCATGCTATAATAATCAGATTAGCGGAATAAATCTTACAAGATTTGAAAAATTGCCAAGAGCTGATTTTAAAGTATTCTTCCTGCTCATGTAATAATGCTTTTCTTTTCTATTCTATTTCAGTTAAATAATAGAATTGTTTACTACTATCACTATTAGTATCATTTATGTACTTGATGCTTGATGGGTGTGCATTGATATTATATTGATGATTTATGATTTTATTGATATTATATTTTGCTGTTATACAAAAATGAAATGTAACAAACTTGGTTTGCACTACTACACAACTGTATATATTTTACATTTTATAACGCGAGACCAACCGCAATGAAATAGCAGTGATTTGTTTCTAAAACTTTTGGACAGAAGTTTATTGCTTGTAAATAAGTTATTTTTTACATTTTATTTACATACAATTATTTTTTTATGATTTACTGAAGTGTAAAGTTTGATTAGTTTTGTTTTAAATAAAAACGTTTGTGCTCTATTTATTGTGCTTTTCGAAAATCATTTGACAACTGCCTACATAGTCATATACCCACATAACTAATTATTTCCATAGAAAACCTACCACAAGCTTTTTTTAAAATACAAAAAGCTTTTTAAAAAAAAGTATAATTTATTAAATGAAACAAAGAAAGTGACTGCATTTAAAATCGGAACATACTAAAAATTATGTTAAATAATATAGATGACGCATGTCACAAATGATATAGAATGTCTGATACCGAAAGAGATAGCAATCTAATTACATCAATTGGTGTAATTTGAGTGCCTCAGTTTCGATGCGCTAGTGTCATCTACCTCGTATATAGGAGATTTTATAGACAACGGACATATTAACAGAGCATATGCCGAATTTGATTTTAAATCTTACGATGGTAGGGCCACGCAGCAGCCTCGGCTGTTTCACGAATGGGCAGGCTCGTTCGGGTAAGTACCATGACCTCACAGAAGACCGGCGTAAAGTGGAAGTATAATGCTTTCGCGTTTCGTCTGGTGAGTGAGGTAGCCGGAGCCCAATTTTCAAAAGGTCAACGCATCTGCAACCCTCGGGTGTAGCAGATGTCTATGGGCGGCGGTATTCACTTAACATCAGGTGAACCGTCTGCTCGTTTGGCAAATTTTCACATAAAAAAAATCTGAATCTGGTAAGTACTTGTGACCTGTTTTTTTTTTCAATGATTATTTCTAATTTTTTCAAACATGTCATGCCATCTCAATACAATAACCTATTCACGAGCACTATAACTGTTCGCTGAACGCATAATTACTAAGCCGCTTATCAATAATGCGAACCACCCGTTTGAATTGATATTTTTCTGGTTATTTCTTGTCAAAATAAAATATTAATATTTTTTTGAATTATGGAATGCTCAATTAACATTATGTCAAAGTAAAAAATCACCTGTATAATGTCATCGAGTACTAACAATGCCTCTAAATTTTTTATGAACACCACATTAAAATAATATATTATTTTAAGTTGTGAGAGTGACCCTGTCACTCTCACAACTGAAAATCGCACCTGTATGAATCTAGTATGTCATAATTATGTCACTCTCACAACTGAGGTCCATCCACCTGAAAGAATTTAATGACACCTAATATATTGAAATTTGTTTATGGTTTAGGTTGTTATATATATATATATATATACACACAGCATGTCGTTACCAACGCGACAATAAATGAACACACATATAGGGGATAACTTTTTAAAGTTGTATTAAACATTTAAATTCTTTAAACATCAATATTTACCGAGTTATTAAATTTTCCAAAACAAAGAATTTCAGAACACCTTACATATAAAAGCGTAACGTAAAGTTCATTTGTAAAGGTCACAAAGCACATGAATGGGTTGAGTGAATTTAAAAGAGACAAAACATACTGTTAGAAGGAGAGGCTTGTAATTCAACGTTGTGGCGCGAATTGTATAGGTGTTACAAAATTTGTTTCTTTTTTACTTAATTAGTTTGTTTGAAAAATATTTTTTTAAATTATGGATTTTGTTTAACGTTAATATTTTTTTATGATTATTGGCAAGTAGCGTTAGACGTGTGTTCATTTATTGTCGCGATGGTAACGACACGCTGTATATTGAAGAATTAGGCATACATACATAATCGACTGACGTTTATAGACGACTTAGCTGACGTTATAATCCCTTATCACTATTTTTTTCTCATTAAAAATTTCCTATGTAATATGGTTTTTTTCCACTTATTTTCTACTGTATGTATATATTAATTTATTCGTATATATGTATGTACCTTGTATGTTTTTATAATCAGTAGCTTTTCGTATTTTATTTACAATAGCATACACTCAAACTAAATATACTCTAGCCCTACAGATAAACATACATATCTAAACACCCAGACACTAGAAAAACACATGTTCATCACACAATATTTTTCCAATAGTGGGGATCCAACCCACACCCTCTGGCGCAGGAGGCAGGTACGCTACCCCCAATGCCATTTGGGTCATCAAATTGGATACAAGGACATTAAAAGTTTAACTTTGTTTGAAATTATAAATGAAAAATAAAAAATATTATATTAAGGAAATGTTCCGATTGGGCGCAATTTGATAATATAGACAAATAAAAATGCCCATTTAAACATATTTAAAAAAAAATATATATTTTGTAACTATGAATGAAGTTGTGCCATGATTGCGAATAATAGAATATATTAAAGGATTAACCTTGTGTAACCTTGTTATATTTTATATAATTTTCTATTCAGGATTATTTATAATATACTGAAACATGAATTTAAAACAAATTTAAATTTATTTTTCTTAATGTCTAGATCCAAATGTATAATCTGTATTTTTCTGTAAGGGCCTTTGTAAAGGATGAGCAAGCAGTTTAGCAACACAGTCATGAATTTTTGTTGCATTTCTTGATACCTCATATACATAGGAATATCCATTGTCTAAGTCTTGAAGAGCGTCATATATCTCTTCACATTTATGTAATGCACAATCTTCTTCATGAGCTAGTAATATATCAGTATAAAAATACAACTGTTTTTTAAGGTGAATGAAATATGGATCATCCTGTGGGATATGTGGGACACAATTAGATCTGCCATATAAAACTATCATTCGGACTACATATGGAGGAGGCAAAATACAATCTGCTTCATTAAATTCCGGTACTTGTATTTCTTGTTTAAGTATTTGAAAAATTGGTTGAAAATCAAAGGTTTCTGAGGTACTCTCTTCTGCACTTAGATAATCAATTATTAATATGATGTCTTTCACATTATTTGTAAAGCTTTGTAACCAGCATGGTTCATTGTCCTTTAATACAAGCAATGCAAATTCAGTCCTCTTATTAATGGCATGTTTTGAATGAATGAAGAACTCTAATACTCTTTTCAACATATTAACAGATGTAAACGTTGTACCATCACCCAAACGGAAGAGAGAATTTTGGTTATCATAGCAAATATCTATACAAATAATGATTTTCTCTGGAACATTCACATTAGGTAAATTTGGTTTCTGGAAGTTTTCTAAGGCTTGATCTTGCATTTCAGTAATTTCTTCGTGACTTTTTTGCTTACTCGAATTTCTGCAATAAACACGAGACTGCTAAAAGTCAACTTAAAAAACAATTCATATTTAATAAAAAGAATAAATTTTATAAGCACAATTTGTTAAATAAAAATCTTACCCTGAATCATTTGGTTCTGAAACATTTGAATTACAAGATGATAATATATCCGGGGAATCCATAACAAATTAATTATCAATAAACCGATAGGGTTATAATGATAATTCCCAAGTACAGAATCCAATATGCTATATCGAAAATGGAACTGGTTATATAGTTTGTTTGGTTATATAGTTAGTTTGGTTTGAACCGGCGTATATAGTTTGTTTGTTGAATATTACATTTTAATCTTAATTCGATTATTTTTGAATAATTACAAATGAAAATTTAACATTGAACATCAGTGTTGCCAACTAATAAAAAAGGGAAAATTTAATATATGGATATTTTAGCCGATTTATTTAGATCCGATATATTGATGACTCCGTGGCGCAGTTGCCAAGGTATTGGCTTCGGCGTTGAGGGTCGTAGGTTCGATTCCCACACGGGATAACTATTTGTGTGACCCACAGATACTTGTTTCGCATCTGGTTGTTTGTGTGCGTGAAATTAATGTTTTTAAAATGTCACTTTCCGCATCCCTAGTTTAGATAATATAACGCCCGGTTTCTCAAAGTCTGAAACACTTATCATCGTAGAAATCAACTAACCAGCTGTCAAATGTATTTTCAAATGTTATTTGAGTTGCCAAAAGGATTGTTAACGTCTCTCTCTGAATTGGTTAGAATGATCTTCTTAGTGATCAGAAACTGTTTTTTCTTTTCAATTAAGGTCTTGGTCGAGAATTATAACTAGAAATCTAGATTAATACAATAATTCTGATGAAAATGAATAAATAATTAATGCTTAACATACCTTCGTTGTATTAAGATAAGGGACATGGACAAATAAATTGGGAATGGCGGTAATAGATCAAAAGCAATTATGTGTCATTGGATTTAAAAGGCGAACCACCCTGTTCTACAATGCCGTCTTAAAAATTTGTAGTCGCCGACTAGCCTGGATCTTTCTTTCTCTGTTTTTAATTTCTAAGGCCTGATTAGGATATTAAAGATAGTGGTGCCACGCTGGAACCAAGTTTTCTAGCGCCTCTCACTCTCTCGACACACATTCACTCTAAACATTTTAGATAAAATACTGAATAACACTGCAACTGAACAATCTCCGACAAATTTCAAGGATATGGCTCTAGGAGTGTGGAGATGTGGGAGTAGACAAGGATGCTAGATAGCATTAAAAGACTTAGTTTAAAGTACTCGAGTTTACAGTGCCACACGGAAACGATGAGTTGCCTGGTGTGACGAACATCATCTTAAATATTAGAATTAAATAAATAATAGAAATTAAAGGGTGATATATATCACCAATGTGAAAACAGATGTATCTTTTACAATTCAGTGATATTTTGCCCAACTCTACTACCCTCCACATTTAAAACTTTGAAGTTTGAACTGTCATAATTCTTGACAATACAATACATATTGACAATGACAAGTGACAATTTAGATTGACATCAAAGAGTACTTCTACTTATCTGATTGACATGTTATGCCAGAAATGTTGCTTTAAGACTTAACAGAAAATAATTAATTGTTGTTATAGTTACTAAAAATTTTAGCAATCGCTATGGATTATCATTATGAACAAACTAGTGAAATAGAAGCTTTGGATTCTATATATTATGGAGACATGAAAAGTAAGCAATACGTTAGTTATCGTTTTAGGTTATAAAAATATTGCTAATAAACTTTGTTATTAAAAAGTTTTAGAGACGGTGCCATTCCACAAATTTTGTATACCAATTATGTCGGAGGCCTTTGAAGGTACCGGCGAGGGTCTTGCTTGTCAACTTATTTTCACATATACGTCTAAATATCCGGATGAACTGCCTATTGTAGAAATTGAAAATGAAGAGAACTTTGACGATGTTGACAAGAATGAATTATTAGAACACTTAATTGAACAGGTTATTTAAATATAGTTTATATAATATTGAATATATATAATATCCATCAATCCATACCAATTTGTCTATTATAGAAATTTTCTAAAATCTAAAATTTACATAAAATATAATCGTACATATTTTTCTTGTTTTGCATGCTGTAAACGTTTAAAATAATCGAAGAACACAAAGTCGTTATGTTGCAGTACCAAGCAACTACTGCGAAATATTTTAATATTTTAAATTATTTCTAAAGTTGTACATTATTGTTTTTGTAAAGGGGAACCAAAATCTAGGTATGGTTATGGTTTTCACTTTAGTGTCAGCAGGGCAAGAATGGCTGAATGAGAAATGGGACAGCATTAAAAAGGAAAAAGAAGAAAAAGTTCTTGCTAAAATTAGAGCAGATGAGGAAGCTGAGCAGGTAAGACATATAGGTATCTACAAATGCAGTGCTAGTGGTTTCGAAGAACATGAAAAAAATTAAGTTTGCACTATTGTTTTTATGTATTTTAATGGTCTCTCTTGACTTGTTAGAAAAGTTTGTGTCATTCTTTAATGTAAATGTTTAAAACAAAATCTGTAATACTAATATGTATAATAATAACTGTGGTAGGGCCACGCAGTAGTTTCAGCTGTTGCACAAATGGGCAGGCCCTACGGGGAAAGTACCAAGGCCTCACAGAAGAGAGGCATGAGTGAGGTAGTTGGTGCCAACTTATCTATAGATTGTCAACGCACCTACAACCTGTCAGGGGTTGTAGGTGTCTATAAATAGGTGGCTCCATCTGCTCGCTTGTCATTTTATTAATCAAAAAATAACATATAAGATTTTTCAGCATTCTGTAAAGGCCTCTTTATGTTATTCTAAAAATAATGTGAAAATATTTAATCTTCAAAAACTGGCTCTTTTATTGTATATTGTATAAGTATATTAAAACTTGCCAAATAATCTATAAAAATCTTACAGAAAAGGTTTGAAGGTACAAGGGTGACTGTAGAATCCTTTTTGGCATGGAGAAAACAGTTCGAAAGTGACATGGGCATTCCAGCTAAGAGGGAGAGAGAAGGAAAAGACAAAAATAAGCTCACAGGCAAAGAATTGTTCTTGAGAGATACCACACTCAATGAATCTGATCTTAAATTCTTGGATGATGGTGAGTATTTTGAAAAGACAGCAAACTCTGTCAAACATAAATAGCACATTTTATTTTATTTTATTCATTACAATCAAGCTTATATGCCCTCAAAATCGATAAAATAGCATGACTGGTTACTTTAAATATTTTATTGTGTTTTATAATTTCATCCATAATTCCAGGTGATGCTGTGAAAGTTGATGAATCCTTATTCCAAGATTTGGACGATTTGGAGCTTTCAGATGATGATGAGGATGATGAAGACTATGTGCCTGGTCAGAGCGGCAGCGAGAGTGATTAGCGAAAAATTATATGCTCCAAAAGTGAGCGCCATTGATAAAGACTTGCTTCTACAAACATGTGTCTGTGTGCATGAGCAATAAAGAGCTGTTGAAAAACATAAAGCAATATCATATAATGCTTAAATGCAAGACCTGCTTACCAAAATGGTAGAAAGGGTAGAAAGGATTATTGTGTGGTAGCATCTTATGTCAGCTTTCAATGCATCTTGTTTAAAAAGAGGAAATTGTGGATTAAAATTTAATAATTAAATAACTATTTGGTCTGACTTTCATATTTTATTGCACTTTTCTTTTTAAATGTACAATAAGTAGGTAGTTCAAATAATACCACACCACTCCTTTCTGGCTTTTAGTTTTGGTTACTAGGCATGTAGTTTTATAGCAAATTATTTAAGACAATTTACATTGAAAATTTACCATTTTAGCTTTGTCACCCCTGTCAGAAATGTTATTGTTCTTAATAAAAAAAAAACAGTTTGTTTTTATTTGGAGAATAGTTTTATTTACACTTCTTCACTAATAAATATATACAGCTAACATGTTAGTTATTAAATGAAAAAGCAATTGAGTTGCAACAATAAATATTAAAAGTAATGAAAACATAACTATTATTTTTGCAAACAAAACAGATTTAACTGGTTTTTATTAGTAGTAACAGAACAATCAAATCAAAGAACATAATTGAATAATATAAAATATAGTCATGAGTGCAGTCTTGAACACAAGTACTTAATATTAAGACTAATTCAATATTATCTAAAGTCTACAGTTAAATCCGAGATATGTATAAAGTTTCAAACTGGTGCAAACACATACACATAATTTCGTTTTGGAATAGTTCGAATAATTATATAAATGACTTCACATATGTATTATATTTTTAAAACACTTCAACTTATCAAATAATAACATTTTAAACATGCTTTACTAAAGAATATTTTTAATAAATTACAACGATCTTAAAAGGTACACAACACAACAACAATTTAAAGATATATATAGTATTAATCAATACTTACGAAGGTAGACTTCTTACATAGTTAATTTTTCTTGTTATATATGAAGACGAATTGCACATTTATATATTTATGCATTATTTTTTTTAATACATATTTCGAGGTCTGAGAATTTTAACGTTAAAGTAAAAGATAATAAGAAAGAAAGTGTTTTAAATATGAAGTGTAGAGGACAAGCAGTAGTATCTCATATGTGTTCAACCGATCACACAAAACTTTCGTGGTTTTAAGACTAGTATGGCATTAATCTTATAGTGGATGATAAAGACTTGAAATTATGGTAGGGTTGTAACCGAAGTAGAAATGTTATACTCAAGGAAATTACTATAATATGAATGTATGAGCCCTCTTTCTAGCAAACTCAGAAAATAAGCGTAAAGTAAAAGTACGAAACTATCATAATTTTTTTCTGCGCTGCCAGAATTCAAAACTGCGTCTTCCGGATCACGGGACCAGGTGTAGATTAGATTTCGTGGACTACATATTATTAAGTTTCATCTTAAGAGCAGAGACTAACAATTAAAAAACAAACTAAAAATTAAAAAGTTAAATTGCATCTTAAAAATGTGAAAAAGTCTTTAGAAAGCGGACATCTATCTGTGTCCATGTATTTTATCGTATTCTAACAATTTTTGGTCTTTCTTGCTTTCTTTGAAAAGCAGCACTATTAACTGTGGTAATAACGCCATTATATGGCGTTATTCCCATATTCTTTTTAGGGTTCCGTACTCAAAGGGTAAAACGCGACCCTATTACTAAGGCTCTGCAGTCTGCCTGTCTGCCTGACTGTCCGTCTGTCCGTCTGTTACCATGAGCCGTCTTAGTGAGACAGTTGAAATTTTCACAGATGATGTATTTTTGTTGACGCTATACAACAAACACTAAAAAACGCAAAAAAAAAATTAAGTGGAGCTCCCATATAACAAGCATGATTTTTTTGCCGTTTTCATAAAGTTGCGGAACCCTTCGTGAGGGAGTCCGACTCTCAGTTTGCCGGTTTTTATGCACATTTTCTATATATTGAGATAGAACTCCTAATGTCTAAACTACATAGTCTAAAACTAAAGGTAGCTTGCATTAACTGACTGCAGAAGTCTACCTGTCGATTATTTGTCCTAAAATACTTGAAATTAGCTGGTACACTCACTTAAATTTATTGCACATCCATCGCTTCGAAACGATATACTGTTAGTAGTTAAAACTCCACTTTGAAAAGAATAAAAAGTATTTAATTTCTACATTTTCAATATCATCGAATAACTAAATACGCCGCACCCGTTTCGCTTGTCTTTTTAGCTTAATGTAGGTACTTGCCTTCAGCTTATCAAGCTGTCAGTTGTTGATTATGTTTAGTGCTCGGATCCCAAGGTCGAAGCTCTAGTTTTATATTCCGCATTGAGCAATATATAATAAACAGCTTTTGTGAATAGATTGGATTGATGGCTTACTCCTCGGGTATCAACTCTTATGTTAAATTATAGATTTTGTAATATCCGAAACGTACCACTGGATTTGGATCGTTTTGTTTGTGATTGCAACAAACGCAAATGATTTTTTTTATCTCTTTATCAGAGCATAACGATTTTAAGAAAGAAATAATATTCTCAGTTCCGAATTTCGAAGAGTTTTATAAGAATATTTATTAAATTGAATAAGAATGTAGAGTTACCTAAATAAAATAAAATGATAGTTATATTTCTAGAAAAACAATCGTATTAAATTACGAGACAAAAACCGCTTGAAAGTCGCTTTTAGTTTGCATTACTACTAATGCCGTCACGTAACATAGTCATAAATTAGAGCACATATTTCTATAAACGTAGGGACCTGTAGAAAGTTGAAAATAACAGAAAAACTGAGATAAGATTCAACATTCATCCCTGAGGGAACTCTGTAGAGAGAGACTGGTTATTATGTAAGGTATCTCATGGTAAAAGCTGATCTAAACTATCATTTTTTTTATTATTCGGTAAGTTTATCTGTCCCATTCGATTTTTAGCTTATTCATATATAAAGAAAAATATTGAACACGTTTGAATGAATAATGATTTTATTAAGCTAAACGTATGTGTTTAAAATAATGTTTTGTTAACGTGCACTAGTTTTCTGACGTTGATAACTTGATCGTATAGATAACGGTGTATTGTGAAAATATAACATCTGTACCTAAATATGTATAAGACTTCAATGGGATATAGTGATCCGTTGTTGTGTAAGCGATATGGGATCCAATGCAACAATGTATTCCTTAGTTATAATTTTAATTATTGTGACCCAGTGAATTGAATATCTTACAAAGCTACCTATCTAAAGCCTGTGTAAAAATATTTGGATGGGTGGTTGTCGTCCGGCACGACTATAAAGCATATTTGAGTAATTTATTATCTATTAGATAGTTAGGAAACTTCCTGCGGCGCAGTCATTTATTTAATTAGGATAGCGTGACTTATCCGTAAGAGTACAACAATATTCTAATTTTCAGAGAAAACGCTTGTTTGAAATCATACTTATAGCAAATTTAATAGTGCAATATTTTCTCACTTACACACTGACAGACAGAAAATGCGAGGGAGAATTAGTCGAATAAATGGCGCCGGCAGGATATTTTCATCTATTTCCCGTAGAGTTAGTTAATGTAGTTAGAGATTGAAGTCTATTTCAATCGCTGCGTGACGTTGGCCAGTGCGACGGCAAACGCTTGAAGGGCGGAGAACGGGTATTGGAAGTCCAGGGTGTAGGCGTTGCCATCGATGCGGCCGAACTGCATCACCTGAAAAAACAAGCGTGACTTGCAACTGTTGTAAAGCCAAGAAGAGTTTTCCATCATTGGACAAGGTGGTGATCACTTACCATCAGGATCATCATGGCGTATTTTTACGCAGAGTTATCTAGTCACAAACTAAACAAAGCTTTTATTATGGATACTTAACTGACAAACATACATTTTTTAGTAAATACTTTTCTTTTCTAAATCATATAATAGATATATAAACGCCCAGATATTAGAAAAACACTACGTTCGACATATAATATTTTTCAAGTAGTGCAGATCACACACACGCCCTCTGGCGCAGGAGACAGGCCCACTATCCACTACACCAGTAGGGTTAAAAAAATATTGTTGTTTTTGGAACAAATTTCCTTAGCACACCTTGCTGGAGATATAACCATTCGACTCTCAGCAACTGTGTGTCTTCCTAACAATTACTAGCTGAATCAACAATACAGGGGTAAAAAACTTTGTAAAAACTTTCAAGTAAAATTTTTTACGTTCCTTATTTTCTAATTAGTTATCTCCATCATCATCACCTTCATGCTCTTATCTCACACAGGCGGGGGACACAACATGTGATCTTGTCGTAATCGGTTTTGGCTATACTCCTTGGGAAACAACCACCCAGATCCGCAACAATTATCTGTTGGTCATACTAATACTAGTCCCGTGTGGGAGTCGAACCCACGACCCCCGACGCCGAAGCCAATAGCTTAGCAACGGCGCCACCGAGGCAGCAATTGGTTACTTTCAAACATTGCCAGTTTATTTAATGTTTGTTATTCAAAACATAACATGCTACTAAATGAACTTCTTTCCAACCGGTTTTAAACATAAAGATTGTTCCCTATTCGCGATGGTCAGGAATCGTGTGGTGTTCAGGACACTTATGTAACATCATCATCATTTCAGCCAGTTTGAGTCCACTGCTGAATATACGTAGGCCCCGCAGCCCGCCGGAGCCACCCTTATCCATCGGGAATACGAACACAGAATAGTTTGCTCCGCCTCAATGTTCTGTGTCGGTGGAGATTGGGAATCCTGCGGCGTGAGAGTCACCTGCTTCCCGTGGTACTCGATCTGGAAGTTCTTTGCGGACTCCTGGGTGACACGGCCGCCGAAGTCCAGCTGGTACACCTGGCTGTTCTCGTTCCACATCGGCGCCTTGTTGTGCATCACGAGCTGGCGGCGCAATGGCTGACTGGGCCGCGGTTCCACGCCGCTCGCTGCAGCCGCCCCGCCGGCGCGCTTCAACTGGTTCGCCATTTCATAAAACTAAATTGTCTTTACTGCGGTGGGGCCACGGAGCCTGCTTCTGCTGTTGCAAGAGTGGAACTCGTCCGTGGAAGTGCCACGGCCTCGCAGAAGACCGGCGTGAAGTGGAAGTGTTATAAATTCGCGGTTCGCCTTGTGAGTGAGGTCACCGGAACCCAATTTTTATAATGTTTGGCAATGCATCTGCAACCGTGAGGTGTTTCTGATGTCCATGGGCGCCGGTTTTAATTTTATATCAGGTGAACCGGCTGCTCGTTTGTCAACTTATCACATTAATAAAAGAACATGTATCCACATTAAAAGCCGAAACACTAATAGATGATACCTGAGAATTTTTGATCGCAAGCGTATTGTGCGAGTAGATTTAATTGCTCACATTCATGAGTACATGTATGAAAGTATAATTATGCAAATAGTAACTTTTCTTGCTACTGCAAGTAGCAAAAGTTAATAGTAACTTTAAGTAACCTGCAAATAGTAACTTTAACTTACGAACGTATTAATTTTTGTGTAAAATTTTTGACATTTCATAAGAACACGCAAGCGTCTATGTGAATAAATATATTTTAGATTTAGATTTAGATTTTTCTTTTTATGCTGGCATTATTTTGTCGCCCTTTTATCTGTTTGTTAGTCATGTAATATTAGTATAAACATTTACCTAATCAATAGTGCCTGGTTAGTTTGCCATATTTTTGGTTAGGGGCGTCGTCCGTTCATCACTATGAACTTGCTTTCAACTTTGAACAATTCAGAACTAGTCAGGCTTATTTAATGATTTAAGTTGTCAAATTAGTGTTAGTCAAACTATTTTACGCGGCCTTAGATACTCGTAATGATACCTTGTTTCTGAGCTGTGCTTTCTGGAAACTTTCCAAGTCTCTGTAGTTCTTGCTGTTGACTTCGCTATAGCCGCCATTGGAGTACTCATCATCTGAGCTCTCAGACGGCTTCTTGTTTCGTCTTCGGTTAAGCAGTGGCGAGTTCAATAGTTGTCTGCGGAGTATATTATCAAATGCTGGTCAACAGTAACTAACAGAAAATAAATGATGGCAATTAAAACTCTGCAAAGACCATGACCACTGAAAGAACAACCACGAACTATAACTTGATTTTGATAAAGTCAAAGTTCATACTTTTGCTCAAATCTGAAGTTTTTATGAATTTTATATTATTTTCGAAGTTTATTTTTATGATGTTTGCAACGATCAACTTCATACCATGCCAACCTTTTCAATATTTACCTATAATTCTATGTCATTTACCGTTAACAATTGCATTTAACGTCTTTTTCGCAAACCAAGAGTACTGACCACATTCTGTTCAGTTTTAATCAGAAAACGAACTGATGTGCTAAAATTGTGCGTGCGTGTTTGTATTCTTACGCCCGGTTTTTGAAACACTGATCATCGTAGAAGTTGCCGATCATTTCATTCCGATCATTCTGATCAATACAGAGAGTTTAACCATCCTTTTGGCAACTCAAATGACATTTGATAAGCCATTTGACAGCTGATTAGGTAACTTCTATTATTTGTTGATGATCAGTGTTTAAGAAACCGGGCGTTAACGTGCTATATTAACAAATCTTTCAACAACAGACAACGCAGAATATGTAAGAGACCGACCTTATGGGTGAAGCGGAGGAGTAGCGGTGTCGGCGGGGGTGCGCGGGGGAGGCGGGGCAGGCGGGGGAGGCGGGCTGCGAGCGCTGCGGCCGCGGCGACGCCGGCGCCGAGCTGACCTCGCGCGCCTCCCCGGCTCTCGCGCGCCCTCTACCCTTCGCCGCCAACAAGCGGAGCGCCAGCTGCTCCAGCGAGCCTGTCGGTTTACGGTTACGGTCCCGTTAACTGGCCGCCTGTGACGTGGTTCCAAAATTGAAATGTGCACGCGCCGGCGGGAGCGGCCATTCTTTGTTACGTGCCATTCGCTCGTCTACCCTCAAGCGTATGCGATTGTCATCGTGTAATCAAACACTACGTTTTCACTAATTGCTAAAATACAACGATAGCAAAGTTATGTACTTGAAGGGAATATAAATTTTTGTTATATCACATACTTACTTATTTTAATGTACAGAACGGTAAATTACCATAGTACAGTAAAGTTACTAGAATATCGTAGTATTTTCTTTGCGCGAAATAATATCATTTAGTTATCATCGCAGTTATATCATTTCGCGCACAGTAGTGTACAGCACCCGTGTAGCCAAGCAGTGTTTTACGTGATAGTATACGACCGTAGTTTCTACGTATTCGGTAGTTATCGCGTGCATAGAAAACTAATTTAACAAAATCAAGAGGGTTATTTAAGAATAACTTTAATCAGTTTTTTAATCAAGGCAGAAAAAATTTACTGCTATAATCATGCCAAGGATTCCAATTGATAACTAACTACCGACAGTAGCCTATTTCATCCTCAAATTAATCTAAAATACAAAGGCTTTCAGATATGTTTCAAGGTGTAGCTTGGGTCTAAGTTTGTTAATCGTGTCCAAAATGTCCCTGACCCAAGTCGCGGACGCCCTAGCTGACTAATCATGCGTGGTCGCCAAGCCAAAGAACTCGTGAAGGAAGTATACATCTAGCAAAGTTTCCGCGTTAGATTTCAACTGTATGTACCTCAACGGTAGAAGTGTCTCGAAAGGGGAGGCGGGGGATAAAGCATCTACTATCGTACTAACTATAATACTTGCTGTAGTCGGAATCGCTGTCGGTAGTGGCGGGGAGCGGCGCGGGGGGTGGGGCGGGCGCGGAGCGGGTGCTGCACGCGACGCACACATATGACGCGGCGTCCACGTCGCGCCGGTCATAAGGCGACACCAAGCCGACAACTCGTGCACACGGGATAGTCCCGGTGGGATCGACGCCCCACAATTCTCCCGCCCTCCTCTGTGCTGGTGCCACTGTTATCATCTCCGGTACTGTTGCAGCGGCTACTGGAGTTCGCGGACACCGACACCGACAGCGTGTCGGCCTTCTGGCTCGCTTCCGGCCGCGGCTGCCGCTTACACTTCTCCACCGTAATAGACAGCTCGCCGGAGTCGAGGCTGCGCGACTTCCCGCACTTCTTCAGGCTCGGCGTCCTGGTCTCTGTTTGCTTGATATCGTTCGTCCGGAAATTACGCTTCGGCCTTCGATGTCGCTTGTTGTTCACTAGGAACAGGCGTCGCGGCTGCTCGCCGCGGAGCGTTGAAATGCTGTGAGCGCGTAAAACCTGCGGATCGACTAGGTCCAAGTAGCCGACGCTACAGCTACGCGTCATTGTGTCATATACGGGCACACTAGTGCACACGGGGCTGATGGGCACTACCGTTGTGGTCCTCTGAACCCTGATTTCTCGGGGCCTCTCGGTTAAATTATTAACTGTTGCTTCGGTGGGCATCTCCTCGTCGATGTATTTCAAATCCTCGCTCTTCTGGAGGCTCTTCAAATTGTCCGAGCGTCTGCTCATCGCGTCCGGGTGCACCTCATGCTCGAAATTCTTGTTGCACAAAGATTTCAATATCCTTGTGTTCACTTCGTAGGAAGCGGACTCACCTCGACTGCAAATGTTCTTCCTTAATTTCGATAAACAGTTGTCCGAAATGTGGTTGTCGCACTTTTTAATAGTAACCTGCCTGCTGGGCTCTATGCTGAGGTTCAGATTGAACGTCTGCTGTTCAATATTGGAGATGTTCGTCTTCAGAGATACGTTGTCACCGCGCACGCTGTAGTCCGCTCTCCCACCGCAAAAGTCGCCGCGACCTCCGCACGTGACGGTTTGCGGGGAGGGTCTCTCAAAGATGATGTCCGTTGGTGCAACAGCGTTTTTAGGCGACTGCAATGTTGGGACGGAACTTTCGCAACGCAGTGGAGATATAGCGTGACGATTAGGAACACCAGCCGTATTATTCATCCTCCTTTCAGCCGCCTGTGATGTGTGCCTAACCGGGGTGGAGTAAACACTTTCTGCTGAATTATTCGCGGCATCATTTGTATCGATGTACGGAAATTCATCGTAAGAATCAGCTCTAGCTACAGACGGATTGGCATTGTTGTTATTATTACTCGAGTAGGTTTCGTTTTGCGATATTATATTTATTCTTTCGTTTATTGTTAGTTTCCTCCTAACATTGTTGTTGGTGTGCGATGGTGAATTTGAGTCATTAGACTGAAAGACCTCATCTTCGTCTTCGGAAAATATGTTCGGGTTGAAGTTTGGATCGGGACCCACTGGGTAATCGTCTCTTAATTCAGTGATCATAAGTGTCATTTGTCTAGGCTGTAAATGCAACAATGACGTCTTGTAGGTAACTTGACCGAGATTTGCGGGAACGTTCTTAGCCAGTCCGTGCATTTTGAATTTTGTCCCCCAAATATTCGATGTAACTTCAACTAAGCGCACGTCCTGAAAACAATTATGATAGGTATTAAAACATAGATAGATGAAGACATGTAAAAATATTGCAGTATTACCTCTGGTAATGAGTCTATATAAGCAAGTTCATCGGGTATGTCATCCTTTTCCCCGGATTTCCTGGCTTTACGTCTCTCGCGCGCTCTTCGGCGCCTTTGAAGTCTGGGAGATCCGGAGCAACCTGAACATGGGAGAAATAATTTAAAGCAATAATAGACTTAAGATCCTATTAAATTATATCATACTTTTGTGTTACATGGTACTATAATATTATGTTAATGTTTTTAATTCAATAAGAAATGTGAGCAATATGCACGGGACGATAACTGAGTAGATAGATTGACAGTGTGCGCCAGTTTACAGATATTGAAGGAAGCATATGTTCAGCAGTCTACTTATTGTTGTTGTTACAACGACGTTCTGTACAATGGCATAGATAAAAGTAAAGTAAAGTAACAGCCTATACATGTCCCACTGCTGGGCAAAGGCCTCCTCTATACAGAGGGTATCAGGGCATAGTCCACCACGCGGCCCCACTGCGGATTGGCGGACTTCACATATCTTCAAAAAATATTTTTTTTTTTTTATTATTTCGAAAATATGCAGGTTTCCTCACGATGTTTTCCTTCACCGCGGAGAACTTGATAATTCAGCACTTAAAGTTAAAAACTTCATTGGTGCCGGCACCGGGGATCGAACTCAGGTTGCTCAAGTATATTGAAATAAAGGCGAGCGCCCGGACACTGAGCTATCACGGCTCTAACTGGCATAGATAACTGCAAAAGAAACTTGTAATAGTAATTTTTTGTAGATAAATGAACAAAAATTTTCGGCGCTGCGGGATTCGAACCTGCGTCTTCTGGTTTCGCGCCCAGATGCTTTAGCAACTAAGCTAAGCGGCCAACGACCTCGCGGCGCGGAAATCTAGACATCTATCTACGTTCGTTCTATTGCATTTTTTGACGCGTCTAGTGTCCGGGCATCCTTTACAGCATACAATACCTTACAAATAACATTCAGCGATGATTATTTGTAAAGTCCCTCTTTAGTCTTGAGTTTTCATTGGTTTGTTTTGCGGGCGGGCTCGTTTCGTGTTTCGTACACTGACCGTCTTCTCTCTCGCTGTCGGAGGAGCAGGAGGAGTTGTGCGGTGGAAGGTTGCGCTGGCGGCGGGGCGGGCGCGGTGTGCGCGGTGCCGGTGACAAAGCGCCGCTGCCGATGCTACCGCCTAAGCTGGCACCGCTGCTGCTACTGCTGCTGCTGACGACCCCAGCTTTCGCGCCCTCTGCGCGCACAACTACCTCTTACATATTCTATCTTCAGATAGATTTGGTTGCTGGAGATAGAATTTACACGTGAGTATTATGGAGTTAACGTTAATAACTATCGCCAGTAACCAAATATGTCTGGAAATAGAATATTGAAACCGGCCGTTAGTCGTCTTATCTCTAGCAGTAGTCTAACATCAATCTAGATATGTTCAGAACGTATGCACGTGTGCGACGTGGCGGTACAAGTAAGCCAATGCTCATTAAACTTACTGTGGTAGGACCACGCAGCGACTGTTGCACGTATGGGCAGGTCTGTTCGGGCAATTACTACGGCCTCACAGAAGACCGGCGTGAAGTGGGAGTGTTATACTTCTGTGTTTCGTCTGGTGAGTGAGGTAACCGGGGCCCAGTTTTTGAAAGCTAAAAAGTGGGCCCCGGTTACTTCCTTTCCATTGGCTTACGACTTTGGACTTTTATTATGTTCGTTATTATTTTTATTTTAAAAATTGCGCTTACGGTAGGATAACATTATCCTGTTTTGTAAGGACTTTTTGCGTACACTAATGTCACGTGGATCAAACACCCAGATCCGAAACATTATCTGCGGGTCACACAAATGATTATCTTTGCACTGCGCCATGGAGTCGAATAAAGGTTGTTGGTTTAGTAGACCTTCAACTTGTGGATCGAATACGTAGCTAATTGTTGGGAATAAAGGTTGTTGGTTTTATTTGACCTTCAGTTTGTGGATCGAATATAAAGCAAATTGTTGGGAATAAAGGTTGTTGGTTTAGTTGACCTTCAGCTTGTGGATCGAATATAACGAACTCCGGGCGTATCTTGCTGGTCCTGCGGCCCTTCAGCAGCGGCACGAGGCCGCCCAGGTGCTCCAGGTACAAAGTGTAGGCCCCTGCCTCTTCGTCGTCGTGACGCAACATGGTGCAGTGGAGGCGCCCCCCGGCGGCTGGAGGCCGGGAGACGAAGCGACGCAGGTCGTTCGTTTCGGGGACGTTGCACTGCGTCATCAGATTAATATCGCACTCAGGCAATGTGAACGTGGAGGACTCTTTTTTTACCTTCTTTACGCCAGAAGGATGGAATATAAGCTATAGACGTAAAGTATAGAATTGCTTTCAATGAATTCTGGGGTTGAGGCATCTCTTGTTGGATTAACAATAGGAATTATAATTTAGTTATCCATTTAAGAAAGACTTCTTTTTCGAAAAATGTATTGAGTATAAAATGTTAATTAGTTATATTTAGTTTTTTACTTAATTATATTTTACCACACATACATATTGCTTGAAATCAATTGGGTGGCATTTTAAGCCACCTCTAACAAGATCGTAGGGTTGTAGAGGTACTTAGGAAGTAGACACTTGAAAGCAAAGATACTCGTTTTATATTACGTTATTTAGTATCGGAAAGATTCTTAATACTTTGTAACACAATTTGTGTTGTAGGTCATTTTCAAGGTACATTTTAATTAATTGTATCCGATTAAAAATCATATCACTACACAAGCCTTGCCTTGACTGCACAAATCAGAAGAATAAATACATATCTAGAGGAAGAGCGGCCACACAGTGTAATATAAGGACTAGTGATGTTCCTAGTACCCGAATGGTGTGCGCGAAGAGGCTGGCTAGGGCCGGCTGCAGGCGAGGGGGGAGGGGCAGCTTGGAAACGAGCCGCGGCTCCCTCAGGGCTTGGGCGGCCCTGACTCGCGCCAAAAGCTGCAGGGGCGCCACCACTCGCCACACGCGGGCCGTGCACACCGCGCCGCCTACGCCGACGAACAGACGCCGCGCCGCGTGCCCCCACGTGAGAGCGGTCACGCGCGCCTGTTTATGCAACCATATTCTTTTACTGGCCAGTAGTGTTTAAACGCCCCGTATAAGTCTTCCCATATAAGTCTTCCACCAATACAGGTGTTTTAGTATTATTTACTGTGGTAGGGCCACGCAGCAGCCTCGGATGTTGCACGAATGGGCAGCCTCGTCCGGGTAAGTACCACGACCTCACAGAAGACCGGCGTAAAGTGGAAGTATGAAAAATATTTTCGCGTTTCGTCTGCTGAGTGAGGTAGCCCAATTTTCAAAAGGTTGTCAACACATCTGTAGAGGAAAGTCACCAAATATGGAATAGTATCCTAATATGGAATAAAGCAATTTCCCTAAGAATATAAGTATGAAACGAAACACATGACCATCTTCTGTTTCATTCGGTCTATTTACTACCTCACTCACACCATCGTGTTAGTTGCGCGAACGCTACAAGTGTGGCCGGTGTTTTTTGTTTTGTTGTCACGCAGAAAATTTTAAAGGTAAGTAATAATTGAGTATTACCAGTTATTACGTATGTATACATAGGTGTTTTACTATTTAGTATATCGATATTATGTTTATTTCAACGTTTTGTGATATTTTGTCATTAAAATATTGTGATTTGAAAAAATATTTAGATGATTTTAAACAAGTATAAAAATCCAAATATGGACAGTCGTCGGTGTCTAATTATGGAATATTCCATAATTAGGTCTTTATATTTCACATGTTAGGTACTTGCTACTATTTCTTTAAAAAAATTATGTTATGTTTGTTTTTAGAATGTCTGCTTCACAATCAACCAAGAAACGAAAAACCTGGGATGAAGAAAAAATGGCAGAAGCTATAAAATTCGTCCGGGGAAATAAAATGGGATATTTGAAAGCAGCACAGCATTTTGAAAGAAAAGCTGCTATAGCAACAGTCATAACATCTTCGCCCTACAAAAATTATTTAGTAAATAAAAATATGAAGAGACAAGAAAAAGAAAGTAAGACAAAGAATAAACAGAAAACTGCGAAGAGAAACAAACAAACGAAGAAAAATAGAAATGATCGTGAAGAAGAAGACTCTAAGGAACGGGACGTCATCCAGTTTGATGAAGACAGTGAACATGATGAGTTGATGGACCAAGTATCTCCTGAGTCTGCTGATGCAGAATGTATGTTCTGTTCAAACCTTTTCTCCATGGATAAAAGTGGAGAAAGCTGGATTAAATGCTTGATGTGTGGACTCTGGGCACATTATGATTGTGCTGGTCCAGAGTTTGATACTTGGATCTGTGACTTTTGCAAGTGAATTTAGTAACTTCGTTCGTTTATAACAATATGTTATTTTAATTTATTTGATCTCATAGATATTTGTCTATTTTTGTTATTGATATGATGATTTATGCTTATATTCCATATATGGGTACCTATTCCATATTTGGTTACTCATTTGTGATTTTGGTTTTGTGTTAGATTTTAATTTGGTAACTAATATATTTGATTAAAGGCTGTTAATTACTAAATATAAATGTCTGACTGATTAGTAATTACATTAAACTGTTTTAGTTTCTATGAAGTTTTTTTTTTATATCCCTGAAACAAAATGGTATTCCATATTGGGTGACTTTCCTCTAACCCTCGGGTGTATCAGTTGTCCATGGGCGGCTGTATTCACTTAACATCAGGTGAACCGCCTGCTCGCTTGTCAACTTTTCACATAAAAAACTTACATTATTATCATTGTATTTATCAAAATGCAATTGAAAATTTGTAGATTTTAATGAGTCGATCAAATGTTTTATTCGGGATCATGTTTACTGTGCGACACGTGGCGGATCCTAATAAGGGCTTTTTGGGCTGCAGCCCAGGGCCCCGTAAACATCCAGAGCCCCCAGCCCGGGTTGAAGTTGAATAAAGTGAATTAAAAAAACACAAAAAAATATATCATAAAGTAATCCTAAACAGAACAAGGGTTTCCCGCTACTTGCTTTGCCTATAGCTTCACGCGACTATTAGGGGGAACTCCCCACCGCTTGTTTTCAGTGCATTTTCTTGCAAACGCAGTATTCGCAGTAGGACATGGCACGGCATAACGCTACAATAGTAATTTGTCAGGGGGCAAAAAAATCTTGGAAACAAAGTTACATCTAAAAGGTTTTAACTCACCTGGGTGTAGGGAATTGGGACGGTGTATATGAGTACTCCCGTATCAGAGTAGAATTTGACCACATTCTTGAAGGGAGGCGCGTCTATCGGCTCACATGACTCTGTGTACAATATTTTTATCATAAAAATATAAATGAACCTTTTCTTTTAATAGCACTATAGGACTGATTCGATTGTCAGGTTGAGGAAAGTCTGAAATGATTTCGAATTCCATTTGCAGCGATATAAGACGTAGAACACATAGGAAAATACCGCGGCCTCTAATATTAAGGAGCTCACTAAGTATTTGTTTTAAAATATATCTATTATATAAATAAAATAAAATAAAAAGCCTTTATATTTCTTGCAAAAAAAATTATACATTAGAACAAAAAAAATCTTATAATCTACTACGCTAAATCTACTTACTGATTTCTTTTTTTTTTTTTTTTGTAATATTATTTTTTTTTTTTTTTTTTTTTTTTAAATATTACTTTTTTATGTTTATTTGCAAGAACCCCTCCTCGGGTGAAGGCCTCCTCCAAAGAAAGCCAATGATCTCTATTTTGGGCCACTTGTATCCAGTTAGGTCCCGCTGTCCTGATGATGTCATCCTGCCATCTTGCATAGGGTCTTCCTCTGCATCTCTTCCCTTTTGGACCGTTCCACGACGTGATTTTGTTGGTCCATCTTTCATCTTGCAGTCTCGCTACATGGCCCGCCCATTTCCACTTTAGCTTTAGGGAATAGTTTAGTGCGTCGGTGGCTTTTGAAATACTTCGTATTTTTGTGTGTCTTATCTTTTGTCTTTTATTAATGTTCAGCATGCTACGCTCTATGCCACGCTGGCAGCTGGTAATTTTGTTCCTTACCTTGTCCCCATATTTCCAGGTCTGGCATGCATAAGTTAGGCATGGCAGGAGGCATGTGTTCATCGCTCTTGTTTTAATATTTACTTCTAAGTTGTTTTTAAATATTTCTTTCATACTCCAGTATTTATTCCAAGTGTTTTGTATTCTTCGTTCTACTTCTAGTTCGTAATTTTTGCTATTAAAGCTAATTTGTTTCCCTAGGTAAATGTATTTTTCAGTGTAAGGTAGTTCTTCGTTGTCGACAGAGATTCTTGTTTTTGTGCTGTTTGTCATGACCATTGTTTTGGCTAAGTTCATTTCTAGACCTACTTTATGGCTGGCTTCGTTAAGTGAATGGATCATAAGTTGTAATTGTATACCAGATTCTGATAGCAGCACCAGATCGTCAGCGAAACGGAGGTGACTAAGGTAGTTACCATCAATATTTATCCCGTATTGTTTCCAGTTCAGTTTTCTCATTATTGCTTCCAAGACGGCAATAAATAGTTGCGGAGATAGAGGGTCACCTTGCCTTACTCCTCTTTTGATAGGAAATCGTGGGCCGATTTTATCTAGTTTCAATCTTCCTGTATTGTTGTTATATATGTTCTTTATTATTTGTATATACACATTTTCTACTCCCTGTTCATTTAGAGTTTCCCAGATGCTTGAGTGAGACACGGTGTCGAATGCTTTTTTGTAGTCTATGAATGCTATATAGAGTGCTCTCTGTCGTTCTTGATATTTTTCAATAACTAGTTCAACGGTATGTATATGGTCTATGGTTGAGAAACCCGTTCTAAAACCGGCTTGTTCCTTTGGTTGTTCCGCCGCTAATGCAATTCTTATTTTTTTGTTGATAAGCGAAGAAAATAATTTATACAAGCATGGTAGTAAACTTATTGGCCTAAAGTTGCCTATATCGTGTGGGTCGCCCTTTTTGTATAATAATATAATATTTGACTCTGACCATTGTGTAGGTGTTACGGTGGTTTCCAATATACGGTTAAATAGAAGAGTCAGTGGTGGAGCCAAAAGAGTATTGGCAGTTTTTATAGCTTCATTTGAAATATTGTCTGATCCTGGACTTTTGTCTATTTTTAAACTTTTAATTGCTTCGACTACTTCTTCTTCGTCAATCTTTGTTGTACAGTTTTTATTGTAGTTGTCTGTGGAATACGTACTATGTCCTGTGTCTTCATACTCTTTGGTGCTATATAATTTTTTATAAAATTCCGTCGCAATATTAATAATATCGTCACGATTGTTTAGTGTTTTATTTGCTCTATTTAGTACGTCGACCCACGTTTTGCATTTTTTTCGAACTGCCTGTTTTTATCAGTTGCTTCTCTAAGATGTTGTGTCAGTATCTGGTATAATCCTGTTTTATAAGTTTACTTATAAGCTTATAGAGTGCTGACAGTTCGTTTCTCATTGATCGCGTTTTCTTTGTAGCTTTTTGTAGTTCTTGTCTTCTTTTCATAAGTGTTAGAGTGCGTTCTGATATGATGGTTTTGCTTTTAGGTGTGGTTTTCTTTGTTGTCCGGGATTTTTGAAGGCTGTGGGAGATAACCTTTATAATTTTGTCGTAGTAGGTTTGCACAGCAGCGGTAGAGCAGTCTTGTAGGTCTGGTAAGTAAGATGAAATGCATTGATTGTATCTCAATATTTCTTCTTCATTTTTCAGTGTAGAGTAATGGCAGCTACTGAAGTTAACCTGCTTTTCTTTTGTTTTAATAGTGTTAATGTTGCTCTTACTGGCCTGTGGTCTGACGAGAAGTTAATACTTAGCACTTCGATATTTTGAACCATACTTGGTTGGTTTGATAGGATAAAATCTATCTCATTTTTATGCTTTCCATTGGGCGAAAGCCAGGTCCATTTTTGGTTTGGCTTTTTCTTGAAAAAGGTGTTTAATATCGCGATTTTGTTTTCAAGAGCAAAATCTATTAACCCTCTGTCCTCTCTTATTTCTCTCACCATATCCATTCGATTTCATTACTAAGTATTCGTCTTGTCTGGGTTGACCTATTTTTGCATTTAGGTCACCCATAATTAAATATGTTTTGTGTGCTTGGGTGATGGCTTTATTTATATTTATGTATAAATCGTCTATTTCTTCTTCTTTCGCTTCTTCAGTGGGTGCATAAACTTGAATGAGCGATATTTTGTTTCCTTGTAAGTTTAAATTTAGTAGTGCAACTCTATCGGTGATACCTGTAAAGCTCCCTATGTTTTTTCTGTGTCTTTTATGTATTAAAAAACCAACACCGTATTTTCCAGGTATAAGTCCTGAGTGGCACAGAATATAGAATCAGAATCAGAATATCATTTATTTGCCTACTTTGTGTATTACAATTTATAATCCTGTGGCCGGTGAGCCGTGCAGGGATGAGTCAGCTAACTTATGTCCTAATGGATCTGTGTTTGCCGTGGTTTAATTATTCATAATAAGTTAGTAGGTATATCATTACGTACAAACATATTACGTGTATCATTTATTATGTGTGCTTAAATTCTATCATATACAGAGATTATTTTATTTTAAGTGGACGCGGAGTCTTTGTTTTATCAGCAGGGCACCGTCTGTGACCTTTTTTATTAGGGTCATACAATATTTCGCCTATTCTGTGATTAACCGTAAGGGGGTTGAATTCGTCTTTCGTTTGGTAGGCGTCACCAGGAAATTCAAGATCTTCTATTTGTAATTTTGCGATGGTTTCCAGCATCTTGGTATTAAGGTCCTCTGCGCGTAGATGCCAGGCTTCTATATCAGCCATCTCCCAGAACGCTTCCGTGGGTGTTCGTCTTGGTAGTTGTGCAGCCGTTTTCAGCGCCATTCTGTATTGGCGTTCAATTTTACTTAGGTTTGTTGCGCTATACCTAGAGAGAAGTTGCACTACTCCGTAGTCTATCAGCGGTAAGATACAGTCCTGTATGATGGCCAGTTTCGTGTTTAGTTCGGTCTTCGCATTGTATCCTATTATTGGGCCGAGGGCTCCTCTGACTTGTTTTAGTTTTTTTGATGACCTTTTCGGTGTGCTGGTTCATTTCATGTGTTTATCGAAAATGACACCGAGATATCTGATCTGTTTTTGATAGCGCAACGTTTGTTGTTACAGTTTCACTGTAGGTCGGTATTTTTTTCTTTTTAGAGAACATGATACATTCTGTTTTCTCTATGTTACACTTAAGCCCCCATCTCGTGTAGTAGTCAATGATTATTTCAGCCGCCCATTCGGCGCGCATAGTCGCATGATCTGGATTCGAGGCTCTGTTGAGAATACAGAGATCATCCGCGTACTGTGAGAGCTTAAGTCCTCTGATGTTGTCTTGTATATCCCAGATGTCATGAACATACATGTTGAAGATTACCGGCCCTAGGATCGAGCCTTGGGGCACGCCGTGAGGTATCGGTTTGTCTCTGGTATTAGTAGTTCTGAATCTACCCCTCAGGTTTCTTCCTTCTAAGTAGTTCTCAATTATTTTGATGACATTGGTAGGAACGTCTTTATCCTGAAGTTTTTTGATCAGGCCTTTGTGGTTGATCGAATCAAAGGCTTTCGATAGGTCTGTAGATATCATGGAGACGCTGTCTTCCGCAGCTAGTGCATCTGTGATAATTTTTCCCGTTCGTAGGATTTGTGTCGCTGTGCCTCTCGCCTTTGTAAAGCCGTGCTGGAACTTTGGTTGTAGCCGGTTAACCGTAGTGGTAAGTCTGTTCAGGATCAGTCGCTCGCACAGCTTGCCCATGATGTTCAGCAATGTGATCGGGCGATACGATGATGCCTCACGGTGATCTTTGCCGGTCTTGTGCAGGAATATGGCACAGAATATAGTTGTCATACTCCTCTATCTTTATTCCTTGACGTTTCGTTTCAGACAACCCAATTATGTCATATTTTATGTTTTTTATTGCCTGTGTCAATTCTAATAGGTGTCCATACGATGATAGTGTTCTTACGTTGTATGTTAATATGTAGAGCTTATTTGGTATGTTAGAAGTACAGTTTGATGTATTTGTCACTGTAATTTTCTTTGGAGGGTTTTGGTCATAACCTTCCACGGTGACCAACCGGCTTGGAAGATATGTTTTTTGTGTTACTAGTGTATTTTCTTCTAATTGTATGTAGTTCTCAGGGAAGGGTTGACGTATTGTTTCCGTCGCATCCGTGGTGTTTTTTGTATATTTGCCTTGTTGTTGCTGTTTTTGTTTATTAGAAAGTTTAACATTCCTGGTTTTACAACACCTTCAGAAAAACTTGACGATCTGTATGCTGTATGGGTAGCTAGGGTTTTATTCTTTTTGATTGTCTGAGGTCTCTGCTCAGAATGGCTGTTTGTGTTTTTATCTTCCGGTGAATTTGAGAGGTTTCGTTTTTTGTTGTTGTTTTTATTTGTAGATGTATTTTTTAGTAAGACAAGCTTGTCGTATTTGATTATAGCTATATTTCCTTTCTCTCTTTCTGCTTTAGCTTGCTCTTGTAACTCTCTTCTAATTTGCAGAACTGCTTTGGGGTAGTCTTCTTTTATATAGTAAGGTGTATCCTTCAGAGCTCCTTTATGTTTAAGTATACCGATCTTCATACCAAGTGTTGTGAACGTAACGACTACAGGTCTCGGCTTGTCGGCCTTCTTGCCTATTCTCCTGATGGCTTGTAGGTCCTTATGATCTATTTCTATGGAGAGATATTTTTGCACGAAGTCTTTCATGTTATTTTCTATGTCGAAATAGGAATTTTCAAGTTCCTCTATCCCAAAAAATATTAAATTGCGTTGTCTTGATTGTTTTTCTAAATAGTATATTGTTTTCAACCCTTGACTTGAGATTTTCATATTTTTCTTCTAATGTTTTGAATTTTTCATCTAAAATTTTATTTATATTTAATGTTACTTTCTCAGCCACCTCTGCACCATTTTTATTTAAAAGCTTTTTCTGGTCGTCAAGCTCTTTTTTAATTGAACGAAGTGCATCCATTACCTCTTCCATTGTGATATAATAATAGTCTTGGTGTGTATTTTCAAGTACAGGTAGTGACCTCTTTTGACGATTTTCTAGAAAAACAGTGCAGCCGCTGTCCAGTAGATGACACTAGTATTCCATTATGGAATTATCGAAAAGTTGAAGAAAAGTAGTACCTCTATTATTTTGTAGATGGCGTTAATACATATACATATATATTAAGTTAATATATATATATATATCTATTATACGAATTTAAAAATGACGAGAAGATATATTATTTTAGACGAGTAATTTATTGCTTTAATTTGCGAAACATCATTAACTTCTCTTTTCAGTCCATTGAATTTGATTCCAATGTGATTTTGAATTTAGGACAAAGTAAAATTTGTTTAATGTCGTGGTCGTAAAAATAAAATTGAGTTAGCGAATGTGAGATAGCTTTCAAAGGAGCACAAATGTCGCAGTTTATTTTGTTGAACGAATATTTATTTTAATGAGACTTATTTAAAAAATAACTGATACGATGATAAAAATCCACAAAAGTTATTCATAAATTTTACAAGTGTTTTATCAAATAGTATGAAAAATGTCAAAAATTAATACCATCAAATTGAGTATTAATAGCAATTGAAAGATAAAGGTCGGTTATTTGATTAATGTTCATAAAATAAAACAAAGAAAATGTTCAATATCAAAATCGCTGTGCCATCAAAAATTTAACTTTAACATCTTCCAATCGTGCTTCTTAATCGTAAAAAATGGTAAGCCTGTCACCTCACCGTGCATCGGATAAAAATATTATATACTTAAACAACTATTTATATAGTTATAACGGTGGTAGGGCCACGCAGCACCTCGCCTGTTGCTCGAATGGGCAGGCTCGTCAGGGTAAGTACCACAACCTCACAGAAGACCGGCGTAAATTATAATACTTTCGCGTTTCGTCTGTTGAGTGAGATAGCCGGAGCCCAATTTTCAAAAGGTTGTCAACGCATCTACAACCCTCGGGTGAAGCGGATGTCCATGGGCAGCGGTATTCACTTAACATCAGGTGAACCGTCTGCTCACTTGGCAACTTTTCACATTAAAAAAAATATAGTGATAAGCTATAAAGTGGCATGTTACAACTTACAATAAAATACAGTGTAGAGGCCTAAAAGCCTTGCTAAATCCGCCAGGGACAGGATGGACCGACGAAATTACCTTGCGATTACAAAAATGTCTCGTTTAATGGGCTCCTATACCTATACGTAACGAACAAAGTAGTCAGGCTATTGTAGTTGGCAACACATTCGCTTCCAAGGTATAAAACGTACGTCGTATTTACGAGCACATGAGGCTCGATCGTAAATTTTTCACACAGATTGAAAACCCGACCTCGCTCCGAAAGGTTGCCGCGGCGCGCCTTTTACATTCCTATCATTCATAATAATGGAAATTTATGTTATGTTATGTTATTAGATAATATACACGTTATTAATGTTTTATAATTACAAGTGCATTAACGAAAAGTTAATTGAGATGCGCGCCGAACATTTATATCACTAATGACTCAATTAACACGTTGTCACATGCCCATTACACGAACGTAAGTATTCCTAGAACTTCGTTACGTTCAATTTAATTCAATGTCTTCAATTGAATAAGAGGCAAGCGTTGACTTATTCCTTCGGACCCATCTTCCGACGCGGGTCATTTATCAGAGTTATAAATAGTTGCTTTCAACGCATCCATTATTCATATCATCCACAAAAGGGGAATGCTCTGGTGCCGCTATAGGTGTTACGTATACGGACTTTTCAATCCATACCTTTCCCGTTTACACAACAAACGCGCAAACGGTTTTCACAAATTTTACAAAGAAATGTTTTTGAACGTTCAAACGTTTGCTAGGCGCAAGGGGGCTAGTGTTTAGAAGAAACCTCACGAAAATACTATAGTAGGAATAGTAATTTTCAGGATTAATAACGCCAGGTAAGGATTTTGCGGAATTCAAATATCAAAGGGGCGCTTTCAATGTCAGTAGCGCCCCGAACTGAAAGTATTAAGTTGGATCAAGCGGAGATCTTTCCCATATTGCTTAGGATTATACCCACAATATTAATTTTAATACAGAATGGTCTTATCTTGAGTCGTCTTTGGCGGATAAAGAATCGATGTTATAGAATATTATTGATACCTGTTTCGCGTCTGATATTTCTGGTGAACAGCAGACATGGCTAACGATGTAACTAATAACATTTATTTTTCAACTGTAGGAAAGATCTAAATGTACTTTGAAGTTATTAAATAAAACTCGTTTATACGTGTAATATGAAATGATCTCATAATTATTATAATTCGATCCACCAACAAAAACATTTTGTAGTGGATCGAATTGTGAACTTACCATCTACTGAAAAAAAAAAACATCAAAATCGGTCCAGCCGTTAAGGAGCAGTCCTGTCAAATACGCACGCACAAAGGAATTTTATATAAAAACCTTATAAGTGACAAACTAGAAGTGTACTCACCCGCGTTCAGAGTTCCCGCGACCGCTAACAGTTCACGGGAATTAGCCCACTCCATGGCCAGGGTGTTTCCCCTGATGCCGGTCGCCACCCTCACGGGGCTGACGTCGTCGTGGCCGTGAAGCAGTACTATCTCCCCACTCCCCAAGGACACGGCGAGCACGTGGCCGTTGTTCGTCTCAGCGCCCTCCTCCCCTTCTTCCATTTTGAACTTCTCGCAAGACCACGCCATCGACGTTATGCCACCTTCGGCGACGAGTTGCACCTGGAGAACATCATTAAGATAAGCGTGAGCTTTGGATGAATCTTTTACGTTTCTTTTACGACTGCGATGTCACTCCAGTGTCGAACGATTATGGAAACATACCCGATAAATTGATGGAGAGATTCAACTAAGTTTTCTTTGTACTATAATAGTTGTTCCATTCCTTAACTGTACGGATGATAAATCACAAAGCAAATCGCTTGGTTCTTGTTCTGGGAACGTCGACAGCATAAGGGTGTAGTCTCGCCGATCGCCTAGTTGTCCGATGATGGAAAGGGGCAGGAGGAATCAAATCATGCAACTCCAACGCACACTCTCCAAAATGCATCCTGTAGAAGACCGAGAGGCTGGCTACTCTGCGCCTGTGCTCAAGGCTAGTAAGGTTGGTTTTAACCAAGTTACGGTCACCAATGTGTTCAATCTCAATGAGAAAATAGAGAATGGAAAAAAAGAGAGAAAGCAGGCATTGGTCAAAGGTTTATCTATTATTAAAAGTTTACTGAAACGTTTACAGAATTCTAAAAAACTTACTTTTTGTTTCCTAAATTTAATTTATTTCATTTCGGGAAAACAGTATCCATCACGTTTTAAATCGATTCACGAAACCGGAATTTATCGCATTTAATTTTAATTTTACTGCTCAATGTCGACAGATTAAGATGTTTTGCATCGAAATACCTGTGAACCACGTTGTCATTCGGAGGTTTCTTACTTTTGATAGTCTCGCGAATCATCCATAGAAGGGGTCTGCGTATTTTTTCGTGGATATTTTGGTTAAATTTGCAATTATACGAATGCGGATGCCATTTTGTCGACTAATATTCGGGACTTTACTCTAAATAAACCTTCTCAATCTTCTTTTACTTTTTCAGTACTATTACAATTTAGACCAACATTTATGATGAGGCGTCAGGAGTAGAATAGTGGTCAGTGAATTTGTCCCTTTGGCTTGAGAAAATGTATTTACGTATTCATATATAATTTATCCTTTCTTCACAAAGCATTGGTGCAGGTGCGACATAGTACGTTGACATAAATACAGCTTGTGATTCGAAATTACATAGACTATTGTTTATACGAACGAGTACACTTTTATTAATGAAAAACTAAACTAACTTCTCCTGTCTCACTTCCTATACATTTTTATTTGATTTTGAAGAGTTTCCTATTGTACCTCCGGAAACTATGGTCCAATACCAAACAAAGAATTAATATAGGACCGCATGAGATCTAAACCGAACCTAATCCGAAAAGAATTTTCAAAATCGTTTAAAAATTACGGAGTTTTGAGGTATCAAACAAAAGAATAGAACAGAATTAAAAACCTCCCACTTTTATGAAGTCAATTAAAAAATTATGCCTTTATTTGGAAGTCATTAAATCCATGAAATCGAAATTCACACAATGGAGGCTGCGGAATACAAATTCTTTAATTTATAGAAGTAAATTCTAAGTATCTGTTTTATTCATTTTAATACAATTCTTTAATACTATACCATAAGAAAAAATGATTTTAATAAATGTATCCACGAACAGAAAAGAATAAAAAACTTGATTAGGAGGCAACCCCATAGCAATAAAAACGTAAAAGGCTTTTTATAATACTGCTTCAATAAAATAAATAGTAATAAAAGTTAGTAGAATTTACTCTTGTATCAATTTACTTTTAAATTCTTTTCAAAATATACGAAGAATTGGGTTACTGATCATATACTTTAATATTTTCATAGCAAAATCGAAATTGGTAAATTTTATAACTCTACAGACCTTTGCATCTCTCTGGAAAAACTCAATCATATTAGGTACTTTGAGGATTAGAGTAGAAGAGAGGATTACAACGAAAAAGAAATGTTAATTCGAGCTATTTATTTTAAAAGTGCATGGTAATTCGCTATGATCCATACTGAAATATTATGTAAATGTAACGTATCTGGCATTCGGAAACATCTATAATTTTGCTAAAAATCAAAAAGTATACAAATTTGTACATACAAATAGGTAAAGAACCATGAGACTGTGTTTTTGAAACACAAAATCATCAGAATTTTTTTAAGGTACGACCAGTTTAATACTTGAAGTGTGTGCACCCGTTTATTTTTAAGATGGTACATTGTTTTAAATTGCTTTATAAATTTGTGTCATTAGGAATATTAATTTTGATTTGATCATCCACTTTTGCTGATGAATGTACGTTGGTTTACTCAAGTCTACCTTTTAAATCCAAAGATATATTATAGTGCAGTCACTTACCCACGTACGACACATTCCTTGCCCCGCAAGGCATAATTAATTGACAATTATGTTTAATTGACTGTACCAAATGAGACGTTTCAGAATAATATGGAGCCTGGGCCAGATCCATGTACATTTTTTTAATGTGTGAAAAGTTGCGAGCAGGTGGTTCACCTGATTTTAAGTGAATACCACCGCCCATGGACATCTGCTACACCCGAGGGTTTGCAGATGCGTTGACAACCTTTTGAAAATTGGGCTCAGACTACCGCACTCACCAGACGAAACCCGAAAGTATTATACTTCCACTTTACGCCGGTCTTCTGTGAGGTCGTGGTACTAACCTGGACGAGCCTGCCCATTCGTGCAAAGGCCGAGGCTGCTGCGTGGCCCTACCACCATAAGCAACCATATGTAACTATACATTATAGTAACCGTTTAGTGAACATTGACTTAAAAACTTTTACGGATTTTAATGCACTGCAGCACTAAGATGATACCTTAAACCTCAATAAGTCTACATACATAAATGTATATCCTAATTTAGAACCAAGAGAATTGCAGAATGGGTGCAAAATAAAATAAAAAAAATTGTCATCAATTCAAGATTATCAAATCTCACAGAATTCTATTAAAATAACAACTGCGGCGTTATTTTTTTATGTCAAATTCCACAACAAAACACGCAACAAAGTCTTTACAATTAGTATATCAATATTTTTTTGCTTGAGAAATGTCAATTCACGGCAGTCGCGTCAATAAATAACGAGAGTGGAAAATAGAAAGACGTTCACATTTGATGTCGCGTGCAACGAATGATGTTTGATGTCATGCACGTGTAACAGTCGACATCCACTGACCTGCGAGACCATAGCTCCGTGAACGTCCATGACCACCAACTGCGCGGAAGCAGTGCCGAGGTAGACCTGTCCATCATCAGGCGTCCAGCAGCCACAGGTGATCCGGGCGTCCAAAGACAGCATCGAAGACCAGTAGCGCTGGCCCGCCACCGAACCCACCAGCACGAAGCCATCCTGTTCATATTGTGATATATTTTCCACCAAAGTCTATAAATAATGAATGATTTAAAATTAATGAAAGTGCCTACTTCTATTTTGATACTCGTGTAAATGAGCCTCAGAAAATATGTTTGTTTGTTTAGTGATAGTAACGCAGTAATTATATGGCATACATTTTGTTTTTATAAATTTAAGTTGGTGATGTAGCTTCCAGTTATATCTAGAAAGCAGAGTGAAAGGTAATCAAAACTGTAATATCATGTAGTTGTAACAGTTGTTAAGTAAGTTAGCAACTAGCAACAGTTGTTAAGCGAGTAAGTAAGCAACTTTTCATTACGACGCCGCAAACATAAGTTGTTTTAATATAAAAGTTACTTGTTTTGTTAGCATTGTTGTACAGCAAAATCGTGTTGGAAAATTTAATCTAAAACGGTTAGTATGACATAACGAACGACTAAGCTTTATTATCACGTACAGAATATTGCTTACATGAAACATGTGACAATGTTTGATTGATATTGCGCGTATCGAATCAATGAGATAATCATTAAAGTTAACAAAAATTACGTTATAACGAAACTAAAAGAGTCTTCCTAATTACTATTTACAAAATTGATTAAATTGATTTGTCTTTTTTCTTCTTGTTCCTCCTGACCTTATCCCAACTAGGTGGCATCGACGCATCACGCGAATCATGTTCTTAAAGACTAAGTTTTTATATGACCCTACCTTGGGAATCGAAATAATTATCTGTGGGCCCCCAAGTAATTGTTCCATGTTATGGGAATCGATCTCACGACCCCCGGCGCCAAAGCCAATAACTAAGCATTTGCGCCATCTATTCATCTATTTATATATAAACACAAAAACTATAAAATATTATAAAAATAATATTTATATTTCCATCTTTCAAAGCACGCCCTTCTATATTGTCAATCTAAAGTTATAGGTTAAGAACTTTTGTGTACACTAGGTGAAATGTGAGACTGTAATATTTTCTTCGAAACACGGAGAGCTCAATAATGTTCCCCAACGGAATTCAAATCTAAGTCCGTTAGCTCATCAATCATTTACTTCAGAATAAAAATATGATTTATTTGAAAACTAAACTCGAAAAATATAAAGGTACGCAAGAAGCTCAACTTGAAATTATGAATTGTTTTAATTTCTGACTAATAGATAGATTGTAGGTTATTCGGGCACAAAATCGGATCAAATGCGAGTGCGGTCAACAGCTTTATTGCGGCGCACATATTGGAAACACGAGCGGCTGGGTCGGTTGCGGACTATCAATCAGCCGCTCCCAATAACAGATCATAAATCTCGGGGCTGTCCCAAGAGCACCGCTTGAGTATTACGCCCTGGCCCGTTTCCCCGCGGAGTTAATCGAATCAATCGCCCGACGCAGCCAAAGCTCCAATTCTGCGAAGTTTATGCGACAAAGAAAATGGCGTTAGATTGCAAGACCCACGTGCGGACCTATCGACGTGTCGCACATTACGTGGAGAGGGTCTGATTTCCGTCGGCTATCCACTTCGACCGTTGACGCCTTCGTTTATTTTTCAGCTAGCACGCCATGCCCTCTTTATTTACTCATTACTTGCTTTTATTTTTAAAACATAACCAAAACAATACAACCCAAAATAAAGCTAAATACAAAAAGTGTTGTTTAGACTGGAGTTTATTGAGAATTTAAGTTAACTACAAGTAACATTTTTATTAGACATTAAACAACCATATTCAAAATTGCATAACTATAAAAAACTTTGGCGATTTAATATCTCAAATGACGGAGACTTTGATTTCGTTTCATAAATTTTCTTCATTATCTTTTTTAGGATTAAATTTTCTTATTTAGGATAGCATTATCCTGTGTTGTGAGGACGTTACACAAACATAAACTTCACGTGGACAAACACCCAGATGCGAAACAACTATCAGGGGTCACACAAATAGTTAACCCACACACACAAAACCCCAACGCCGAAGCCAATACCTTGGCGACTCCGCCACGGAGTCATAAATGTTTTTTAACTTAAGCTTTCGATATACATATATATATTACAAATATCGAGGAAAAGTTTTTTAATATTTTAGTCGCCTACTGCCTTATTAACGCAATGTTGTTTCGGACACCTTAAAAATGCTAAACGGTCGAAATAATCAAAGTGCTACATTAGACGTCAGCTTCAACTCGACACAGAACTAAAGGGCTTCTTAATAAATAAGATTTATAAGAAATACGGATATGGATCAATAAGATGCTGCTGAAGAATCATCATCAATTAAAAGTACTTTTTTTAAGTGAGAAGGTCGCAAGCGAGCTGGAGGTCATCTGATGGTAGTGACCGCGACCTATGGATATTGGCAACACCCGTGAGGTTTAAGATGCGTTGCCACCTTTTAATAAAGTGGGCACCGGCTATCTCACTCACCAGACGAAACGCAGAAGTGTAACACTTTCACTTCACGCCCGTCTTCTGGTCTTCTTTGAGGTTGTGTTAGTTACCCGGACGGACTGTCTTACCACAGTTAAATATTACCTTATAAAATTTTAAATACACCTTTGATTTTAATTTAATTTCAAACGTTCATTATGCTTGTAAGAATCCATCATAATTGTGTTCTGTAACAGGTTTTTAAAATTATCATAATGGTAGTATGTTTATTTGTTCTTGCGTTTCACAATAATTTACAGGTCTGTTGCATAATTACATTATTGCATTACCTTAAACTTAATTCAATATTCTCAACTTATCTGGTCATTAAATAATACTTACATTGTTATTTACGAGTATACAACGTCAAGTAATTAGTTTGTGGTAGTTGGTGTGTGTACTTAAAATGAACCTGTAATTAAAAAATAAAATAATTCGGCGTTCCTCCTCACTCCCCTTCCAAGGTCGGAATTCGGTAGGCACATTAGTTGCGTACGTTTTCCAAGGTGTCGAATTACGGTGACGGCTGGGTGCACAGGGAAGCCTTTTAGCAAATTGCACAGACGTGTATTCATCGGAGCGTCCTTTCTTTTAATTCACGGCGCGATGCACATGACAATTACGTTCACACTGGCTGTATACATATTTGCTCGAATAGCGATATCTATAGGTATATGACGTAAAGAACAGATTATTCTTTTTGTTGATTAGTAAAAAGTTTAGATTTTAATGATGCGACTTAAAATAAATTCTTTGTTAAATACATTTTAACAAGACTCCATTTAAGGACAAGGCTTTAATGTTAGCTAAGCGGTGTTCGACGTCAGTGGGTGCTAGTGGAAAACTGACCATACAACAGTTTTATTGTAGACATACATAAACACGTGTATGAGAGATACAGAGGGACAAACAGCGATGATAGACGTCTTCGTTCCTCGTCTGTTTTCAATACTTATTTATTATATATACTCTTTTGCATCTTACTCATATACAGATATGTTATAAGGGATACGTAAGCCTTCCTCAAGGTATATATGATCGATGTGATTTTCTGCATTCGCCAATATTTTACTGACATTGTCAAAATCCTATTATTTATACATAAATTATACAAATAAGCAGTTTTCATATTTATTATTTCTCATTTAGAATACATGACGGTATATACATATAGAGTTTAGGAATAAATAGTTAATAAAAGTTTTTCTCGAAAAACATATGCAGTTTGAAAATAAAATGTAAATTATTAAAGCAGTCTATAGTTTTTATCCGTCAGGATGTTATTTATACATCAAGAAATATTCAATTTTAATTTAGGTAAAAAAATCTATAAGAACTCTAAAAGAATATAACCGTCATTGAGTGTGTGAAATTTCCCAAATAAAAAAAATTGTACAAATTTATCGCAATAATACCGAGAGAGAATTAAGAACAAATACACTAATCGTTGCTTTGAATAGAAGGACTCTTATAAGGTAAGAGGTTTTCAAATTTAATAAGCCAAACAGTTGCCGACAAAATGAATTACAAGAAATCTCAAGAACACAGTGGGAGTTCGAATTAAATAATAAATCTAATTATATTTCTTATCATAAGAAGTTAATTATTTAATTATTAGGATCTTGAACTGTAGAAATGGCCTGAAATTAGTAAAAACCATGAATAAATATGAATTCTTTTGCCCACTTTAGCGTAAATTATATTTTTGTAAGGACTTGTTATGTATCTTTCATAGACGTATCATACCCATACGTCTTCTCCAGAGGCCTAGACAATCGTAGAGTAGACAATCGTCAATGCTGGCAACTACATTCACCAAGCCATAAAGGTAAATTGTACAAGCACTTCGTCATAATCATTATCATTTCAGCCTATCTGAGTCCACTGCTGAACAGACTGCCACGAAGCACGATTATGAGCCCTCAAGCCATTAGGAAGCTGAAGTGCTAATGGGTCGGCCATATAGCTCGTAGAACCGATAACCGATGAGGAAGGAAGGTTCTCGAGTCGCAGCATCATACGGGCCATCACAGTGTAGGATGACCACCCATTACATGGAGTGACGACCTGTGCAAATATGTGAGAAGGCGATGCAGACGACAAGCGCTTACCTGATAACAAATCAAGGCCATTCGTCCATCATGAGACCAGGAGAAGTGGGTGACAGGGGTGCTCCTGTCATTAATTAGCTCGATGCTCCACCGACCTTCGTACTTGATCCATACGAAGATGACCCCAGAGCTATCGCAGGACGCCAGCTTCTGATACGGCTCGTTCCATTTCACGAGGATTACCTAAACAATTAGTAATCAAATTCAAAATATCACTGTTCACATCAAAAGCTAGCACGTTCGTATGAAACGTCAAGATTTTACATAAAAATTAATACGTTCTTACGTAAGTTACCATTACCAACAATCCTTAAAGCACCGTTGTAACCTAGCTTGAAAGTTCTCTCGAAATTTTTTCACATAAGCTCAGTTATCACCTACGCTCTTCTAAATTTATATAAATATTGAAGCTTAATATCTTATTCATCTTATTAATATATTAATGTGTTTTAATTTATGTTCGGATTAGCTTTAGTATTTCAATAAATTTATATTATTAGCTAATATTAATACGTTATGAAAAATGTAATATGATAGAATATGTAATCCTCAATAAAAAAATTAAGTCATCGTAATAGAAGGTAATAAGTTTGAAGTGCTATTCTTAAATGATCCATTTGAATGAGAGCCAGTGTGAAAGAGAAAAGACTTTTTCTTTTTGAATAATTAAAAGGAATAACCCATTAACTCGAAGCCAGAGTTGGTGAAAATTATGTCAATCTTAATGAGTTTACCTCGACGCGTCTCTACTTTTAGCACTATTAAGAGATTTTTTTTGAAAATATTTATACGTCAAGTTCTTTAAAATAAAATGGGTGGTACAAACTTTATTTCTTAATTCTGAAACAATTGGAATGATAAACACTTAAAAAAGTTTCAGAACAATTATTTCACTATTTTTTATTTCTTTCCCATCTAATAATTTTGCTCATACAAATTGAAAAATAAATCCTCTCTTCATAAGCAACAAATGAAATGGAAATCAGCTTATACATTCTAGGGGTTTCCATCTAAGAAAACAAACTGTTTTTGGGTTTACTAGGAATGTTCTTACGAACATCTGTAAAATAAAGATACAGAATTTTAGTTTTCATAACGGCTTAACATCGCATATGATCTTCTTGTTAATATCAGAAATACAAAAAATACGTTTTATATACATGTTTGTGATCACAATCACAATGATTTGTTATTCTATCTATTTTACCTTACGCGAAGGGATTTCATTAAGTTTGCGTGGAAATTCTGTGCTAAAGTTAAATCCTTAAGACAAATTCTACTAAAATTTGGATAATCCAACGATTTCATCACACCTTCTCTTTAGAAAAAATAAAAATAGCAATCTAAACATACATCAAACATTACATGTTAACAAATAATTGGAAAACAGCACCGTCACCCGCCGAGGATGACTAGAGAAGCAATATAAATAAAAATATAAAACATATAAGTTTCAATAGAGAAGATGATTGTATTCGACCACAGACTTGTAAAACCTGCTATCAATAAAATTATATACAAACACAGCAAACCACCACTGAAATACTTCAAGATACAGTTGGTATTTGCTGCGCCGTCAGTTTAAAATGAAAATAAGTCGCGATAAAATCCGTAAATTAGTTTTATCAAAATTACAACGATATACTACATTTTTAATCAGAAACGTAAAAACGTAGAAACTCTATCGCTGGCCCGTGACCAACGAAGCCATATACCCGTAATTACTAGAAATCTTGAAAAGCCCTCTTACTGCAGGATAACAGTATCCTGTGTTGTAATAATGTTTTTACATACATCGATTTCACGTAACTATATTTGGGTCCCACCAATACAATAGTTCTCGTGTAGAAATCAAGCTCACGCCCCTTCCGAAGCCAATACCTTAGCATCTGCGCCACTGAGCCATCATGTAATAAGGTTAGAAATTTAAATTGTTTATAGTGCTAATCTTTGCACTTAAGATTGAACATTAAAATATGTAGAAAAAGTGCGAAAAGATTGTCGCCGCTGTGGGAATCGAACCCACGTCTTCGGCATTCGCGGCCTGACGCTCTAGCCACTGAGCTAAACGGCTGATGACCACACCGACGAAAATCTTAACGCATTCCTCTACATTGTTTTCTTAGCATTTGAAGCAATGCGAATGCCGAAGACGTGGGTTCGATTCCCACAGCGGCGACAATCTTTTCGCACTTTTTCTACATATTTTAATGTACAATCTTAAGTGACAAAGATTAGCACTATAAACAAATTAAATTTCTAAAAAAAGCAATGGCGACATCTCTCGTTCGAATTATCGTTGTAAAACGATATTCGAAGTTGTTTGTATGCTGGAAAGGATATAACAATAGATGGCGCCAAGCATTGCTTCAAATGCTAAGAAAACAATGTAGAAGAATGCGTTAAGATTTTCGTCGGTGTGGTAATCAGCCGTTTAGCTCAGTGGCTAGAGCGTCAGGCCGCGAATGCCGAAGACGTGGGTTCGATTCCCACAGCGGCGACAATCTTTTCGCACTTTTTCTACATATTTTAATGTAATAAGGTTACTCACGTCAGATCTATGCCCTCGTAAGTTGTAGTTGGTGCGTAGCGGCAACTCGTGCGGCCGCCGCGCGTGCGACGAAGTAAACGTCACTCCGACCACTCCACGCACGTTGCCCGTAGCCAGCCAGCCCTCCTGGTAGTAGTTGTTGCGGTTCAACTTCCAACCTTCCTCCTGCGGCAAAAGGTTTAGTTTCATTCAGACGATTGGCGGTATCGTCGCGAACTTCTGCCGCTTCCCACTCGACAAGAGAGCGAGTTCGGTCCTGAGCTCGTTATAACACGTCAGTGTCACAGATGTCACCAAAGAAAGATGTATGTACGTTTATATATCAATTTGAAATATTCAGAGCTTTTCTCGTTACATAATGAATCTCGTTAAATATTGTATATACAAAATACATACTAAAAAAAAAGGTTAAATTTCATTTTCTAATTATTAAGCAATGATTTATATTTTAGTAGCAATCATTAATTCTCATTGAACAAGATATTTTAGCAACTCTATAACAATTAAATTTTACTTTGAAAATCTTTATGGAATATTAAAATAGGTAAGTTACTAAATTTTATACAGCACTCATTAATTGGTATCTTCTTACATCCATAAGATATTTAAGGTACTCAAACACTTTTAAATGTTAATGCCTTAATAACCATCCGTCTGTTTCTTAGAAAACTACTCCTAACTAGCTTTGTAGACAAAACTAAACGCTAATAAGGCATTTATAGTGTTATGTTTATCTGTAAGTTCATATTAAATGAATACATAAAAGGTAAGATAACCGGATCGACTTTACTTTATAGCACTAGCGACATAGAGCAAACATCCCTAAAAATATTATTACATGGGTTGACAAGGGTCGGCCTTTACTAGCGACATGGGTCAAGTAAATTTGTGTGAAAACCACTTATTTCACTCAGCCGAAACACACCATACTCCAGCGACTATTGTAGCGACGTGGGCAAACAATAGGGATTGCAATTTAGGACCGCTGAATCATTTGCGAAGACGCATGCTGTTATGTTTCCCTTTCTTTGGCAGAATTGCGTCCGTTACATTTCTCCTTGATTAAAAACTTCCGCTTTCCAACTGCAACTCGTTATTTATTCGAAAGAATTGCTTTCAAAAGGATATTGGACAATTTAAATAATTTAAAAGTTTCACCTTATAAATTTTTGTCTCTTTTTAGTTTATAAATAATATAACTAAATAATTTATCAAGTATCCAAGTATCAAGATCCATCACAATGACACACCGATAAAGAATTGAACCTCAGAATACAGAAAGAACCAGAAGCCGCGAGCCCGCCTAAAACTGACGCATTAAAAACCGCCCCAAAGTAGATTATTTAGTCACGCAGCTGTTTAGTCTTTCTGTGAAATTGATCTTATTCGATTTAAAAAAGGTCCATTGGGATATCGTGTTATTTAATTATTGAATTAATTTGCAATTGTCATAGAAACCGATGCGTCCATATTATCGATGCTGCCCAATATAAGAGTTTTGATTGAAGAGTGGAAAATATTTCTTAAAAATGCATTATTATTACATACAAGAGGCATAAATATAATATTTAAAAGCTCTTGTAACACTAAATATAAAGAACAATGTGAATATGTGTCAGAATTCCAATATTCTATTTAAGACTTTAGTACAGAGTTCTTTATTAACGTTAATTTTTTAACAAATTGATTTTTGTCCATAGTAGCGCAGAGCTTAACCCTTAAATAATGTCAATTATGAATTTCTAATAAATATTAAGAGATACCCAGGGAGTATCGTCTGAAAAATCTGAGAAGAGAGAAAAATTAGAGTGATATGATGATAAAATTATTTCGGAAATTGTATATTCTCGTAATTATGAAAGGGACTTTTATGTTATCAAAAACCGATCGTTGCCAGACTGACCGGAGATCGAAGCTGAGATTGGCAATTAGCCAGGTATTAGTGATTTGGGCCCGCTTCCCTATTAACACCTTCACCGGCGGCCAATTAAGCTTGTTGCTGTGGTGACGCCTCACCAGATAAAGCGGGTAACATTACGATGGTGTTGATTTTTGTGACAACAAAACGCACGCGCGTAATATTATAGATCCTCTTCGGTTAGAAGCAGTAAATGAAAACTCAAAGCTTATTACTTTTAATTAATTAAGTAAAACTGTAGTTTTAAATTAAGTAGTTAACGAGTAATCGTTAACTACTTAATTTATCCGTTTTATTTAAACTTTATATTTAAAATTAAAATAAAACGAATAAATTAATGATCCTTTAATTTTACGTTCAAGTATAAAATGAAGAACCATTAATTTTAATTTTATCTGCTCCTCGCTGAATGTTTCTTTTATTACCTTAACGTTAATTGCCTTACAATTAATTCTCAGGACGAGAAGCTTGTTATAAAGAAAAACGGCGAGACGCGTCGTAAAATAAAAAAAAGGAGAAAAGTTTTACATTTTCTTATTATTGGAATAAAATTGCGTAAATAGGTTCTTCAATCATTCATTCAATTGTGTTGAAATTTTGGGCGCACGTCCCCGCAGACTTAGCTCAGCAATTCTGGCGAATGTTTTAGACCCGAAAATATTTTTCTTTCATCACCGCTCATTTCACTCAACACTATTCATTTAAATTTGTTTTAAATATTGTTTAAAATATTATTCAAGAAAATACAAACAAGTGAAAAATTAAATTAAGTACCGATAGATTCCAATTAATAAACCATTAAACGATCTATCGGCAATATAAATTAAATATCTCATTGGAATAATGTAATAAATGTAATGTATAAAATTATGTGACGACGACCCGAATGGCGTACTTGCCTCCTGCGCCAGAGGGTGTGGGTTCGATCCCCACTACTAGAAAAATATTGTGTGATGAACATAATGTTTTTCTAGTGTCTGGGTGTTTATATATCTATAATATGTATTTATTTACAAAAGAAAAGTATGTTTAAGTATGTTTATCAGTTTTCTAGTACCCATAGTACAAGCGTTGCTTAGTTTGGGACTAGAAAATGTTGTGTAAAAGTGTGTCCTAAATATTTATTTATTTATAATGTTAATGTTATGTAGATTAAATATGATTTTGTGATATTCTGATACTGATTCTTTATAAAGCACAGTTCGGCCGCACATGGAATACTGTTCTCACCTCTAGGCTGGGGCACTGAAATACCATCTCCTTCTATTTGACCTCATACAACGAAGCTGCTCGAATCATCGACGACCAAATCCTGTCCGATCACCTCGATTCTTTGGCCCTGCGAAGGGATATTGCATCCCTTTGCATTTTCTATCGAATATATCATGGGGAGTACTCTGTGGAATTGTTAGGGTTGATACCTGCTGGTGAATTTCACCATCGTACAACTCGTCAAACCACCAAGTACCATCGACACTACCTTGATGTTTGGCGGTCCACCGCGAAATTTTCTACCTCGCACAACTACTTTGTGGAACGAGTTGTCGCCAGCGGTATTTCCAGACCGATACGACTTAGTGACCTTCAAGAAGAGAGCCTATTCTTACTTTAAAGGCCGGCAACGCAATTGGGACTCAACCGATGTTGCAAATGGGCGGCGGTGATCACTTACCATCAGGTGACGCGCATGCTCGTTTGCCTCCTTTTTCCATAAAAAAAAACTCGTAAACAACAATTATGTACCTAAATTTATTGTCAATATTTGGCTATGGAAATATTTAGCTGATTCAGATTTTTAGGTCGTTTACAAAGTACAACATCCAAGTCCAGAAACTTTTTTGAACTAGTGAGTCTGCGTATACCAACTAAGACTACATCACTACTTACCATTAGGTAAAATTGTTGTCTGGCATCAATCCTTTTTTGATAAAAAAGGAACTTTTCCCTTTCTAATGTTTCTGTTACTGACCCACTGCTTGAACCAACAGTTAATAACTAGAAAAAGCTATTTTGGTCGGTAGAGTTCGGGTTTTTTTTGTAAATGTGAAGAAGTAGCAAACGAGCTGGCGGTTCACCTTATGTTAAATAATAACCGCCGCCCGTGGACATTTGCAACACCCGTAGGGCAAATGCGTTGCCATCTTTAAATACAGATAATGAAAAGCTTACAAAATCACCTTGTTTTTTCTTAACATTGTGAAACATCGATAGAGATCGTAATTCAAAGGACGTCAGCCATTTCAAACCTGCTGCGAATAAAGACACGCAATTAAAAAGTAAATCCCTAAACAGCCGACCGCATTCTGCGCCCGGGGACCTAAACAAACGCAACCCTAAGCTATTAGCGATTATAAAGCCTCATTGTCGGCGTTCGACGCCGGAATTAACGAAATGAATCCCGTTTTATAATAGCATAATTGACGACGGGGGGTCGGTCGCACCAACAGTTACTTGCATCAGATACGTTTAATTAAGTAGGCAGGATTTAGGTGGATCTTTTGTAATCTCACTGTGGAGGTATAGTTTACATGGTTTAGAGTTTAATAGAAGATATTAAACGTAGCAGACATTGTCCTTAAAACATATAGCACACTCGATATTGCTACACTGAGTCCTGGATTGTTTTGTCTAGAGCATTGTTCTAAATTTTTCATTGTTTTCAATTTCTTGCTTTATATTTCGTTGTAAGGAAATCTTTACAAAATATTTATTATGATTACATGTACATACATAGTTTCTATTCCAATGCAGAATTATAATCATATGAAAAAAGTAGACACTGAAGTAAAGAAGGAATTAGTTTGTACGCACTATAATACTGCACTGTACTAGTACGAAAACAACTGTTTGCGTATGTTTTCCCAATTAAGGTGTGGCGCAAAATTGTTGCGTTCACACTCAAGACGCCGTGCCGTGCCGGATCCAGACTATATTGGCTACAGTTTACATGGGCTTGCTGAGACAATAGAGATTGAGTCGCCCACGTATGTATACCTACGTGCTTTGTAACAAGGTTTTTGGGTAAGGCTGTCAAAGCTAGTGTTCGTTCGCCGTAGTCTATTCTAACCGTTCTGACATATTGTATTAATTTAATCTAGTTATTCTAACTTAAGCGGGAAGATGATGTCAACATTATGAGATATGTTACTTTCATCTGCTAACCCTATTTAATGCATAATCGTGTTAAATATCATGGCATAAGTACACGATTTTTGAAGTAACGGCAACGGATGTCTCATCAATAATA